AGAACCCTGGGAGATGCACCACATGGGCACGCTAGCGCCCTATAGTTCCCCACCTCGCTTAGATCTGTCTCACTAACGGAAATTACGAGAAATCAGCAGAAGTAGATTACATTCATGGATATTTACTGTCTACGCTATGTGCCTAAGTGCATACATGTATGTCCAGCTACATTTATGTACAGTTAATAGACTACCCGTGGGCTTTTCAACCACCTAAAGCTGCTATCAGGGGAGAAGCGCGGAAAGACCCCGGAACTCCGGGGGCCCGTTGCCATGGAATAGCTAAGTTAGCTAAGCATTCGCCTTGGCCCCTCTCGGCTCGAGCCCTCGAACTTCTGAGCTTTTCGGCCAATCAGAGGGCTCCCTTTCTCCATGTGCCTGCATCATACAACGTCTGCTCTACCCAGACCTCATCTCAACATCAGGTACGGCTCACAAAGTACCTCTGTGAGACTTGAAAGAAAGCTGAAAGGGACACACAAACACGTGTACCTGTTCGGTATACCTTCCTTCAAAGTTTATCTCCGACGTAGATGCACGTGTAGTGGCCCTGACCCCGTGGACCTTCCATACATATTCTGGCATTTCTAACATTCTTGACGATCTTTTCTTCTTTCTTCTCTACCATCCTCATTCTCCTCGGTCCGCCTCGGTCTCATCTCATCAGCTACATCAATCTTATTGATTTTCTGCGAGATTCATCAAAATGAAGGCTGTCATCGCGGTTTTGCTGGGAGTGGCTACTCTGACAGTTGCTCAGACAGCTACTACCTCTGAGCCTGCTCTCGCCGACATTCAGGCTGCCGAAACCACCAAGCCGGAGGTTACCGTCTCCGATGTCAAGGGCCTGGCTTTTGATCGTTTCTATCAAGTCTGGCTGGAGAACATTGTACGTGACAAAGATCAATTCCTGAAGTCTCAAAGACACCATGGCTAACAGGTTCATAGGACTATTCCGATGCCGCCTCAGATGCCAACATGCAGTGGCTTGCTTCTGAGGGTATTCTCTTGTATGTTTCCAATGTTTTAAGCCATGAGTGAGATGACCCACTCTAATATTTTATAGGACCAACTTCTATGCTGTCACCCATCCCTCCGAGCCCAACTACTGCGCTGCCGCTGGTGGTGACACGTTTGGAATGGACAACGACGACTTCAATCAGATTCCTGCAAACGTTTCTACCATTGCTGATCTGCTTGACACCAAGAGCATCTCGTGGGCTGAATACCAGGAGCACATTCCCTATGCTGGTTTCCAGGGCTACAACTATTCCAACCAGGAAACTTACAGCAATGACTACGTTCGGAAGCACAACCCGCTGGTGCTTTACGACTCTGTTGTGACCAACAACACTCGTGCACGTGCTATCAAGAGCTTTGATGACTTTGAAAACGATCTCAGTGACAAGAAGCTTCCTCAGTGGGCCTTCATCACTCCTAACATGACCAACGATGCGCATGACACCAACATCACTTTCGCTGCCAAGTGGGAGCGTTCTTGGGTGAGCAAACTGCTCACTGACGAGTACTTCATGAACAATACTCTCCTCCTCCTGACCTTCGATGAAGACAAGACCTACACCAACGACAACCGTATCTTCAGCATTCTTGTTGGTGGTGCCATTCCTCAAGAGCTCAAGGGTACCACGGACAATACCTTCTACACCCACTACTCGAGCATTGCCAGTGTCTCCGCCAACTGGGGTCTTCCTTCTCTGGGTCGCTGGGATTGCGGTGCCAACATTTTCGAGATTGTCACCAACAAGACCGGTTACGTCAACTACGAGGTCGACAAGACTTATCTCACCCTTAACCAGACCTACCCTGGTCCCATGTCAATTGGGGACGACACCATTGGCAACACCTCCACTTACACTCCCGTGTGGCCCATTCCCATCACTGACAGCAATGAGAAGTGTTCCGCTGGTCACGGTATCCTGGATGCCGTCAAGCAAACCTATGGAAAATTGAACTCGACATACGACACCAAGCCGTTCCCCTGGGAAGCCAAGACTCACTACAACGACAAGGTCACATTCCAGCGGTCAAACGAGACCACCAACGCGACTGCCACGACCAACTCGACAGCGGCGAGCCCTACCCACACTGGCGCTGGATTTGCTGCCACGGCTCCCATCTCTACTGTCATGCTCGGAGTCATGCTGGCCATCGCTGCCTATTCCCTCTGATTGAGCTGTTCTTTATCCATTCTTACTAGTTGACCGGGTGTGTTTGTGGGTCTATGACTCACGATCATCTGGTCCCGATTGACTGGGAGGGAATGTTTTCTCCAAATTTAGGAGATGTAAAACACAATCAGCTATCTCCATCTGGAGGCTAATATCTTAAGCTTTAGTTATGAATCCAAATTCGTTATTATGATATTTATGTTCCATTAAAGACTACTAGAAGGATCATTACTTCCACTGCCCAGAGACTGGCCCCTTTATGTAGCTGATCGCCTTTTCCTAACTATCTAGGTGTCGGATACTGTTAAACACTGGATCTTCTTTGGTGGAGCTAGGTACTTTGCATGATTGTATTGTACTCAATTTTCTATAGCCCCGAAATCAGGTATCCATCGTCAACCATGCTTTCGGTTAAACCAGCTATATTTCACAGACGTGCTGTCTTGATCAAGATACTCTTAGTCTCAAGAAAACTGTCAAGACTATACAGAAGCCCCTCCCGGCCACTCCCACTCATTTTGAACCCACCAAATGCAGTATCCTTGGCATTCGTCGGGCTTGTGCAATTAATCCCAACAGTACCCGCATCCAGAGCCTTCGCCAACCGAACGGCACGATCAAGATCTTTAGTAAAGACAGCAGCGTGCAGGCCAAACTCCGAATTATTCGCCTTCTCAATCGCTTCAGTCTCGGTGGAAAAGGTATTTATCACAACAACCGGGCCGAAGACCTCCTCTCGCATCAGCCGCGAGTCCTCAGCAACGCCCTCAAAGATAGTCGGCCGCACAAAGAACCCGTCACTTGCATCACCACCCAGACTGAGCGTCCCATCCTTCTCCCCGATATCAAGGTACTCCTTGACCCGGTTATACTGCAGCAGATCAATCTGTGGACCATGCGAGGTAGCAGGATCGAGTGGATCACCCATCCGGACAGCAGCAAACTTCTCACGGAATAATGCAATGAATTGTTTAGCCACTGACTCGTGCAAATAGATCCGTGAGTTCGCCGCGCACACTTGTCCGCTATTGAACTGAATGCTGAACTGTGTCTGCGCAGCGGCTGTCTCTAGGTCTGCGTCTTCGAAGATAATCGCCGGTGACTTCCCGCCCAGCTCCATGTGCACATGCTTCAGGTTTGAATTTGTGGCTGCCGTCTGGATCTTCTGGCCTGTTGCCGTGGAGCCGGTGAAGCTGATACAGCGGACGGTCATGTGCGATGCCAGTGCCGCGCCGGTAGGATCGCCGAACCCAGAGATGATGTTAATAACTCCGGGTGGAAAGCCCGCTTTCTCAATTAGCTTGGCTACATAGAGAGACTATTTCGAGGGTTAGTTCGCATGGTCAAGTGATATGCAACAGATATTGCACAAACCGTCAACGGCGCCTTCTCGCTGCTCTTCAATACAACTGTATTGCCTGCCGCCAGCGCCGGCGCCAGCTTCCCCGAAAACATGACAAGCGGAAAGTTCCACGGGATAATAAGTGCTACCACACCATACGGCTGCTTGACGGTCAGGTTTAGGTAGTCCGAGGTGTTGAGGCTGGCCGTCCCCTGTGCGGTCCAACCGCCACCAGCGAAGTATGCAAATAACTCGGCTGCTAGACTGGCGTCAAAGAACTGGGAGATCGGTCGGCCAGTGGAGAGTGTTTCGAGCTTCGCCAGCTCGTCATTTGACTCCAAGATGAGCTGAGATAGTTTGCGCAGGTATGTGCCGCGCTTGTCGGTGCCCAGATCTCGCCAGGCGGGGAAAGCTGCATTGGCGGCAGTAACGGCATCCTCTACGTCTTGTATGTCGGCTTCTTGGACTTAGGCAACAGAGTCGGTGTTAGCAATATGTTGGCATTTGCGAAAAAGGGGACACACCTTGCGCAACGACCTCTTTGGTGTATGGATATACCACTTCGAATGTTTTGCCACTAGACGATTTTCGAAACTAGAAAGGTTAGTATGAAGAAGCATCATTGGTATATAAATAGCAGTCCTAGGTAATAAGCATAGTTGATGCATAGTTACCTCGCCGTTAATGAACAGCCGAGTCTCGATAGATTCATTCATCGTAGATGCCATAGTAGACAGTGTGACAGAATTTACAATAAATGAATCAAGCAAAATCACACGTTTAGTCAGGAAGCTAATTCAACACTGGGCGATGGTTCTGATTTATATGCATGCCAGGGAGTCCATCACCTGCGCCGACTTCAAGCTTTCAATTGGGGCTGTCATTTGAAACTCAATCATTAGTCCTTAGTCCCAAAGCCAAGGACACCTCCGACATTAGTTGTCATGGATTTCATTGGGCAATGTGGTTGAAATCGTACAAAGTCATGTACAAAGCTGACTTGCATGGATCAATTGAAATGGCCTATGTTGACTGCTCAGATACCTGTGTAACAATATTAGCTGGGCAGCGAAGTATCTAGTGATATGAGCAACTAACCGACCTCGGGACCACTTGAGTCCATGATAAGCTTTTGTCATGGATGCCTTGATGAGATTCAGTGACTGGGGTTAATATGCAGGGTATCTCCGAGGACCTTCTAAGCCCACCACAAAGCTTTTCAATACAACGTTGTACCTCGGCAGGTACACATTAGAATCCTGCTTGTGTCACTAAGAATGTATACACTTCTTCACTACTCACAACTGGCAAAACAGCATTGGAAATGCAAAGGTCACGTGGTATACCTCGGCTCTTCCGTCTGGGGAACCGAGCGCGGTCGATGAGCTACGCCGGGACCCATTTCCCCGTGCTCTCACGAATCCCAACCAGCTCCCTTCTATCATCTACAAACACGTCATGATTTCGCGATGAGTTCAACAAACTTCGCCGCTGCACAAGAACGAGTTCTTCAACGTCGTCGCCAGCGTGAGGCGGAAGCGCGCGCCCGCTATGCAGCACAGCAGCGGGCCTCTCCGATCAGCCCGGCCACCGTCCAGCGTCTGCCATATCCATTGAATCGATTATCCAGTTCGGGGTGGCGGATATGGAATTCCATTCAGGGCCGGGAAGGCACGCGCCCCGCATTTCGCGTGGGCCAGGTGGACGCTGAATTGTTGGATGAGGAGTTGCTTGGGCTGCTGAAGGGCCAGGTCGGGGATGCTCTCAAATACTTCGGGGTATGTCTGAATGAAGCTCTGGGGTGTTGTGAGAAAAAGTGGCTGACATCGACAATAGCCTCAAATTCGCGAAGATTGGTCACATGAGATTCTGTTCGCGTTACGGGCCATGCTCTTTAAACTATCAATATGGGATCATAACGCATCGTATGGTGCGGCACTACAAGGCCTCAAATACACCGATAGTCGAAGCAAAGGACCCGTTTTCTCTTCTCCGACAAAATGGCAGAAGGGTATTTATGGCTTATTGACAGTTGGGGGGCGATATGCTTGGGACAAGTGGGAGAGCTGGTTGGTCGGACAAGAAGGTGGCTATGACGAGGTTAGTGCCGACACATTGCTCTCTATTGGCAATGCTTTACTAACGGATACTACAAAGCCATCACCGGACATCCGAATGATGTCGCGACTAACGGACATGATCTCGACATCGCACTCGATTGCCGCCTTCGTCTCTTTCCTGGTCTTCCTAGTGAATGGCCGATACCGTACCTTGGTCGATCGCATCCTTCGTATTCGCCTGACTCCTCCATCTGCACAGGCTAGCCGGGAAGTATCCTTTGAGTATTTAAACCGTCAACTAGTTTGGCATGCCTTTACCGAATTCCTTCTTTTCCTCCTTCCTCTTGTTGGAATTGGCCGCTGGCGGCGATGGATATCCCGGGTCTGGCAAAAGATGGTCAATTCTGTCCGGTCAAGCGGCGATGACGACGAGACCCCCGAAAAACAAGGAGAGCTGGCCTTCCTCCCAGAGCGAACCTGTGCTATCTGCTACCACGATCAGAACCCCACCACAACGACCGAAAGCGATACCATAGCCGCCTCTGCGTCAGGGGGTATTGTAGGATCGGCGCAAACTGATATCACAAACCCATATGAGACCGTCCCTTGCGGCTGTATCTATTGTTTCGTCTGTATTGTGCAGAAACTGGAAGCAGAAGAAGGCCAGGGATGGTCATGCCTCCGGTGTGGTGAAATTGTCAAGAAGTGCCAACCTTGGAATGGCGATGTGCTAGAAGAGGCACGGTCGCAGCCTGGAACTGGGAAGATTGTTGGCTTTGCCATTGACGGTGAACTGAATGGCGAGACCCGTGGGACAGATCTTCATCGAGGGGACTCATCAAACAAACCCAGCCCATTGCAAGAGATCAGCGCCGATGAAGCCCTGCAGCATTCAGAGCAATGGTCCACCATTGAGAAAGAGACAGAAGACGATAGCACAAGAGGTACGAACGAGGATGAGGACCTAGAACCTACTGCGACGTGACAGTACCCTTAGGCACACGCCTCACACCCCGGGTGCTCTTAGGGGTATGTAATAGCCTTCTCTTCTCCGACTTGTTTATAAATATACAATTACCTGGGTAGTCACAGCACATATGCAACTTGCAGCCCTTATAAAAATTTAACGATACCCATACTCGAAGACCGAAGACTCCATGATCATACAAGGGATTAATTTAACAAATAGTGGAGAATTTCAAACCGGCACAACTTCACAACTTCCGGCATTCCTGTTTAAGGAATCATCCAGCTAGAGACAGCAGTATAGAACCCAATGCCAGCTCCAATGAGTGGAAACACAGCTCTGATCAAATTCAACCGCGACCAATGCTGCAGAAGTTCAATCACCTCACCATCCTCCCTAGCCCGCTTCGCCTTCTCTTGTGGACTAACCACCATGCCCTCGGTACCCTCGGCGTCAGCCGCATCATCGCGCTTTGCATGAGCCTTCAGCTTGGCATTTGTCTTTCTCATAACCGTCAACGTAAAAGGCGCAATGCTCATCGTAAACCCGATAGCAAGCATATAGCACGTGGACCAGCTGGACCCAAAGATATCCGGCGCAGGGGTAGCGGAGTCCCGCAATGCCCAGAGCGCATACAGGTTTGCAAGTGAAGATACCGCGGATATACCGGGGAAAATCCTGCTTCCACGAGTATATAGATCGAGCCACTGGTGTGTCAAGTGGCCGGGCGAGGTTCCTGGGGTATCATGGAATGGCAGGGTCGCGCTGGGTGGGCGACGGGCTGGAATTATGAGATTGGGGATGCTCATTATGGATAATGAAGCAATGCCGCCTGGTATACTATGAGTGTCGGGTCATCTGTTGCGTAGGCAGTGCTACTTACCTGCTGCCACTGCACAGCCAAGCGTCCCTATTGCCTGGGCGATTCTCACGTCGGTAGCCATTATACGGCTAATTTTTGTGCTCAGAAAGTATTGCAATAAGAGAGTTCGGTCAAAGGAGCAGAATGCTGCTTTTATGTTGATAGCATATGTATGACGTCTACGAAGGGGGAAGTGACATGCCTGATTCTCATGGTATACCCCAATTAGGCCTCCCTTCTATATTGTCTTCAACCGCCTTTACTATTGAAGCTAGACCATCAACAGAGAGAATAGATATCTAGTATTGGGTGAATATAGAACATGGGAATAGCTTCATTTTGCCTGCCTATCTTAATACTTCAGGCATAAATCAAGCATCTACTCTGAAAATCAGGCATCCAACTTTTGGCCCTTCGCGTCGGTGCCATGGATGATGTGGCGAGTTGCGACGATCCCTACATTGTAAATAAACTAAATATATCAACTTGAACCATTGATATACAAACTCATAATGCCATATGTATACAACCTCGTTAGATCCGGAGACTAGGCCCAACTCCGATCTGCTCATAAATCGGCCGCATCTGACTGGACAACGAACGTGGGGTCCTGGGTGTCGGACATCGGTGCGAAAATCGAGCTCCCGAGGTTGTCTGGGCTATAATTCTAGTCAATTGCATCTCCAATCTCTTTCTAGTTTCGTTATCATATAGCTATCATATATCATCATGGATTCCTCAAAGCCAACCGTGCCTAGCACTCTCAGTGAGGCTAAATACATCAACTTTCCTTCTTTGCCCACAGATGCGAAGCATCCGGATGGCTCCCCCGCACTCAATCGTTACTCCCACACTATTACCAAAGGCCATGATTTCCCCGGCGCACGGGTAGGTTGACTATAAGAACACTGCAAGATCTATTACTGACCGCTATAGGCTATGCTCTATGCCGCTGGTGTCCCAGATAAAGAAGCGATGGCCAAGAGCCCACATGTCGGTATCGCCTCAGTATGGTGGGAAGGAAACCCATGCAACATGCATTTGATGGACTTGGCCAAGACCGTCAAGAAGTCAGTTCTGGAACAAGGAATGCTTGGGTGGCAGTACAACACGATTGGTGTTTCGGATGCAATTACCATGGGCAGTGAAGGTTGGTTTGATCCTCAACTCTCATCTCTAGCGAACGAGATAGCTAACACCCGCTAGGAATGAGATTCTCTCTTCAGACTCGAGAAATCATTGCCGATAGTGTTGAGACTGTAACCTGTGCCCAATATCACGATGCCTGCATTGCTATCCCGGGCTGCGACAAGAACATGCCCGGTGTCGTAATGGGTATGGCTCGCCATAACCGGCCCTCAATTATGATCTACGGTGGAACTATTGGAATCGGCTATTCTGAGCACCTGCGGAAACCCATCAATGTCTCAACGTGCTTCGAGGCTGCTGGTGCCTACGCCTATGGTACCCTGCGCCAACCCGACGATGGTGGTGACCAAACCAAGTCTCAGGATGAGATCATGGATGACTTAGAACGGCATGCTTGCCCTGGCGCTGGCGCCTGCGGTGGTATGTTCACGGCCAACACTATGGCCACTGCTATTGAGTCAATGGGTCTGTCACTACCCGGCTCATCGTCCACGCCTGCTGAATCGCCATCCAAGATGCGCGAGTGTGTTCGTGCCGCGGATGCTATCAAGGTTTGCTTGGAGAAGAATATTCGACCACGGGACCTACTAACCAAGCGGTCCTTTGAAAATGCTCTCGTAATGACTATGGCGCTGGGCGGCAGCACTAACGGTGTTCTTCACTTCCTGGCCATGGCTCGGACGGCTGGTGTTGACTTGACCCTGGATGACATCCAGCGGGTCAGCAACAAGATCCCCTTTATTGCCAACCTCTCACCCAGTGGAAAGTATTATATGGCCGACTTGTATGAGATCGGAGGTGTCCCATCTGTCCAGAAGCTGTTGATCGCGGCCGGTCTACTTGATGGAGATATCCCCACAGTGACGGGCAAGACGTTGGCCGAGAACGTTGCCTCATTCCCTTCCCTGACCGAGGGCCAGGATCTGATTCGCCCATTGGACAACCCAATCAAGGCGAGCGGTCACCTGCAGATCTTACGTGGTAACCTTGCACCAGGCGGTGCCGTCGCCAAGATTACAGGCAAGGAAGGGCTCCGGTTCGTTGGCAAAGCCCGTGTTTTCGATAAGGAGCACCGGCTCAACGACGCCCTGAATGAGGGCCGCATCCCGCGCGGTGAAAACCTTGTCTTAATCGTGCGTTATGAGGGCCCCAAGGGTGGGCCCGGAATGCCGGAACAATTGAAGGCCAGTGCCGCGCTGATGGGAGCCAAGTTGACCAACGTGGCGCTTATTACTGACGGCCGGTATTCGGGTGCCAGCCACGGTTTCATTGTCGGCCACATTGTGCCCGAAGCCGCCGTGGGTGGCCCAATTGCACTCATCCGCGATGGAGATGTCGTCACCATCGACGCTGAGACCAACTCGCTTTCAATGGATGTCTCGGATGAGGAGCTTCAGGAGAGACAGCGTCAGTGGACCCCTCCTTCACCGCAAATCACTCGCGGTGTGTTGGCCAAGTATGCACGATTGGTCAGTGATGCATCACAGGGAGCCATGACGGATCTGTTTTAATGAATCATTATGATATGTCACCTGAGTGTAAATATAGCATATTTCTAGGCTGTTGAAATGATGTTATGATCTACGTGTTCTAGAAAATCTAGAAAAGGGATAAACACGATATGATCTTCGTGGCCCGCTTGAAATTGGCCAGTGGTATGTAAGAAGCCACGCATGCTGGCTCGGGAGGTACTATAAAATGGAGTCCAACACGGAGTACGGAGTAGTTACCAACATCTTGGGAACCATAGTGTACATAATACATTGTAGAGGGCAATACGAAAGAGCAAGTGGTTATACATAGAAAAAGAAGACTAAATTATACTAAGATCTAACACTAATGTACAAATCATCTCGAAATGTTCGATTTTTCAAAAGGTACTTCTTCTCCCATAGTAGTTGCCATAATCAAGCAAGTTCCTTCCAAAACTTGTCGCTGCAATACACAGGTTGGAGGGCCAATGGATGACGATGACTCACCCCCACGCCGCTCCTCCCGAGGCTGTGAGTGGCTGAAGCTGAACCCTCCGGGCATTTTCTTATCCTCGCAACTCATTTCAACGTTGTCGACCTAGCTATCCTCATTGGTCTCTAGCCTACTTGCTCTATATCCAAAGAGCATCAGGAGCGCCATCGCGTGGTTCTTGGCGAGATCACTATCGGGGGGCTCTGAAAGCGCCCAGCACGCCCCTCCGGTACTTAATCATGGGATCCGACGCCATCTCCGCCCTATATGACTCGTTAACGTCTCAATCTGAACCTCCAAGTGTCGCGACTGTCCTGCGATTCTTTCACTCAGTGCGCGCTACCGCCCAAAACGCTTCATTCGTCTCTATCGCCAACTATTTCCGCGGCGTCTACCGCAATGAAAATGTGAATTGGGGTCGGGTTGTGTTCTTGACTACCTGTGTGATCGCTATGACTGGATGTGGGTTGTTGTCACTGGTGAGACGCAAGCGGTCGGGGAAGAAAAGCTCTCGTGCGCAACGTCCCGCCGCTCGCAAGACGTCGACCAAATCTTCGAAGACTCTGAGCTCCTCGGAGGAGGAGGATTATGAAGATGAAGACTACGATAGCAATGCATCGCTGCGACATGGAACCAATCCCAACTATAAGACGGAAGATTGGTCGTCGGACAGTCAGCAGCAAAGCTCTGATGGTAGGTGAATAGCTCATCTTCACCGGAGGCCTTCATTAACACTTGCGCAGCCTACGAAACGGACCCGGGCATTCTCAGGAAATTCACCACATATAACTCCTACACTACTTCATTCGCCACCTATCCCGCCATTCGCACCTTTTACAGCCCGCATCCACACCTAGCTCGACTCCCGACCAAACCGACTCCCGTTCCACTAATCGTGGTTGTTCATGGGCTAGGCGGGTCCCTCGCACAATTCCACCACCTCCTAACCAGTCTGTCTAATGTTGCTTCATGCTTTGGTATTGATTTGCCCGGGTGTGGACTGTCCAAGTTTGCGCCTACGGATTGGGATGCATACACCGTGGAGGCTCTGGCTGAACTGTTGGCTGAAGCCATCAATCAGCACCGGGACCGTGCGTCTGGCCAGGAAGTCATTCTAGTGGGACACAGTCTTGGGTGTTCCTTGTCAGCCCTCTTGGCTTCATCAACGTCGTCCATTGGTGCAAAAGTGAAAGAGCATATCATTGCCCTTGTTGCTATGTGCCCTCGAGCCGAGCCTCCATCTGCGGAAGACACTGCCAAATTTCGCCGACTACTTTATGTTCCTGGTCCAATTTTCGATCTTTGGCGCCGCTGGGACAGATGTGGAGGCGAACAAAGTGCAAGTGTTATGCGGATGGTTGGCATCGCTGCCGACGCGGAAACACGAAATCTCCAGGTGCGCTTCAACAAGCAAAGTCGGACGCCTGTTTGGCGACGCATGGCGTGGGGTACACTTCCCACCTACGATAATAGTGGCCACCCGATTGGCGGGCTCCCTGGTCAACAGGTCTGGGCGGGAATTCGCATGCCAATTCTATTGGTCGCGGGAGAGACGGATGCTGTGACCAAACCGGTGGAGGTGCAGAAGCTTTTGAAATTCTTTGGCGATGCTTCAGCCCATATTGCGATTGACACTAGCGATAGCAGCATCATCCCAGACGCTTCGCGAGTCCACGACCAGATGTCACCTCCAGTCGGCGATCTCGTCAGTGGGAAGGCGTTTGGTGTGCAGGTCTCCGAAAAGCATTTGGACGGTACCCAGCGGAAGCGAGTGGTCAAATCAGCGATTTTGCCGGCGCCCGCATCTCACGCACTGCTCTACGACCGGGCGACCTATCGCACTCTTGCAGGAATTATCCAGGATTTCCTCTCGTCAAATGTCGACAAGCGTCTCGGTCTGGGCTGGCAATTGCAACACATGAACACATCTGGAAAGTGGGATGTCAAGAACCTCGCCAAATGGAAGAAGGTTGTCCCAGTCTCGGAACGAATTGCCAACACATTTGTCGCGCTCAAGATGTTGCGCGAGGTTGACGAGGAACACAACCCTGTGACTTTCGCGGCAAAGTATCATGGTCGCATACACGCTGTCATAGACATCAGTCATGAAAGTCCAGTCTATAACCCAGCCGAACTGGAGGCCGGTGGGATTCGCTATTACAAGCACCCGACTATATCCAAGATTCCTCCGACTCCAGACGAGACGCGTGACTTTATTGCTCTGGTCAATAACATTGAAAAGGATATTGATGCGAAGATGGAGCAGCGTACGGAGGAAGAGAAGGCTCTGCCACGCCCAGTGGTCGGAGTTCACTGCCACTATGGCTATAACCGTACGGGGTTCATGATCGCCTGCTATCTGATCGAGCATCTTGGTTTTGGTGTTCAAGATGCCATTGACGAGTTCAACCGGTGCCGACCCCCTGGCATCCGACATGGTCATTTTATTGACACTCTATTTGTGAGATATTGCGTTGGGCTGAAGAGAGCGCCCACGCTGTAACTAATTGGGAATGATTCAGGCGTTGAACTGAGACGAAGACTATGGATCAAGGCAACAGGAAGGGTGGTTCAAAGTTACGAATAATGACAACTGCGATGAAATAGATTTTTAGTTGGTGTATAATTAGAACATGAGAAATTGAGCTCTTCAAATAATCTTTCATCATGGATTGTATGTGTATTGTATGTCATGTCAATAATTAATGCCCGGAAAATTAGACACCAAGGTGTTTAATGTAGTTAGAGCCCGATCCGTCAGGCACAAATTGGGCTAAGTCACATGACCCGGCTTAGGGTACGGCTAACCCAAAATGGACAAGCGAACGGCACACAGACCCAACCCGCCCAGAGTTGTGTGTGTCTTGAAATTTTGAGCGACTCTTCGACTTCGACCCTGCCCACCTCGACGCCCAACGCCTCTCTCTCTCTAATCCCTACCCTTCGACCCCTCGACAAGTCGCCAAAATGGGTGGTGTTACCGTTCGCGATGTGGACGTAAGTGTCCTGCTCGATTTCTAGGTCACCAGCTCTGGTTTGCATGATGTGGACGGTTCGTTTCTGGATGCACGGATATCACAACATCGGTCGGATTATATCGCCAGGATGGAAATAGTTCGGGTTGCGCACGCAATAGGCATATGGTTTCATTGCTTATAGGGAATATGTCGAAAATTGAGGGATGTGTATGCATGTTTTGAGCGGCGAATATTTGATAGATCCATCTATCTGTCGGTATTCCTCAGGGATACTTGACACAACGACTGCTTGCTAGCGAAAAGCTCCCCACGACGAATGATGAAATGCTTCCAGGAACGAATCCGACGCATCTGCAAATCCACAGACTTTGACCGATCCACGCATATCTTGAGCCACAACTAACATACTTTTCTCCTCCACACAGGCGCAGAAGTTCATCTCTGCCTACTCTGCTTTCCTGAAGCGTCAGGGAAAGCTCCCCATCCCCGGATGGGTTGACACTGTCAAGACCTCTGCTTCCAACGAGCTCCCTCCCCAGGATGCTGACTGGTACGACTGCACCAAATATCAAGCCACCAAAATTCGAACAAACAATTGACATTCTTGCTTTCTTAAAGGTTCTACATCCGCGCTGCCGCCTGTGCCCGTCACGTCTACATGCGCAAGACCGTCGGTGTCGGCCGTCTTCGCAAGGCCCACGGTTCCACCAAGAACCGTGGCTCCCGCCCCGCCCACCACGTCGATGCCTCCGGCTCCGTCGACCGCAAGGCCCTCCAGGCTCTTGAGAAGATCGGTGTCCTCGAGATCGATGAGGACAAAGGTGGCCGCCGCATCACCCAGAGTGGCCAGCGTGATTTGGACCGTATCGCCAAGACCACCGTCGATGAGGAGGAGGAGTCGGATGAGGAATAAACGTATCGCAACGATGGGCTTTTAATAGTTCGGGGATAAGTCGTTTGTTTTTGTGGTTTTGTCTTCGCTACGGCGGCAAGATATTGGAAATGACGGCACAAAAATAAAAATTCGGAGCTTGCGGTCCCGTGCGCGACTTTACGTTTGTTTCTTTTTTCTTGTTCCACTCCATATTTTTTTTTCTGACGACCAGACGGGGCTACTAGCGGAGAGAGATATGGGCGGTGCAGAGTGCATGAGGATGAGGCATCATATCCGGAGACTTGAACGAGAGAAGAGAGCGGACGAGACGTTCTACACAATCCTTCCCCTCTCTCTCTTGTTGAGAGGAGGGGATCTTTTTTCCCCGACATGTTTTATGATCTCCCTCTCCTCTTTGACCCCGAGCAACCCTACGGCGTCTTTGTCCCTTTTTTCTCTCGTGGTCTCCTGGAAATAAAGAGCATGTCTAAACACTTTAAAACTGTTCCGTCCTCTCTCTCTGTTGTAGATGTAGATGTAGACGTCTTGTATTTTTTTAGCCAGCAGATCTTCAGCATTCCATATCTATGGATCGGTTCTCAAAAGCCCAATTTATATCCAACCATTGCTATTGGTTTTATGCAACTCTCGTTCTTACATATGTACAAGACAAGTCTAAGTTAGCTCGCATTCCAATCTACTTCATTTCTTTCCCGACTGCGCCGCGGTATCCTGAAGACAATCAATCAGCACCACACACACCACCTTACAGCTAGCACAAGGATGTACTCACCAAATAAACCTGATAAAACTGCATCTTGATATCCTCATCCCCCTTCTGGGGCGCGAACACAACCCGTCCAGCCCAAGGCACATAAACCTCATTATCGGGGTTAGCCTTGAGTCTATAGTTCACGCCACCATACAACATGAGCTCATTGTCACCACCGAAGTAGATCTGCGTCGGCGTGTGTCGGCGTGAAGCAACGTGTGTCCAAAGACCGTGGCGGAGGGTGAGAATTGCTGTTATGGGATTGTTCTTGTTAGCTGGAATACAACATTGGATAGATGTATGTTTTGCATCGAAGTGGGAATCGGGATTGGGAGCTGTATAGCTTCCCCGATGTTGAGGGCGGGAATTGGATAACACCATACCGCTTGCGCCCTTGGCCTCCTTGGGTCCCATGATGAGTGTCGCATCTTCGGTGAAGCTCTGGACATATTTCTCGTGCAGGGACTCGGTGTCGCTAGTGCGGTAGAAGTCTTCCATGAATGCGACGAACGCGGCGCCGCGGGGTGGTGCCCGGGCAGTGTCGTAGGCGATTTGGTAAGACATTATGGATTTGTGAGTTAGGGAGAAATATTTGCAAGGTTAGAAGAATAATAAGAGATCCCGCAGAATATGTCTATTCCATCATGAGGGGAAAGTATCGGAAGGGACGCATCCGATCTTATCGAGGACCGTATAAAGCGAAGTTTTTCTTTCTACCTTTTTGTATGGCCCGATGAGCATAATACTACACTTACAACAAGGCAGGTACTGATACATGTGACGTCCTGCTGGATCTGAAAAACTACATGGCCTGTATAGTCCTCGACTCGTACGTTGTACTTCGGAATAGCATCGGAAGTGGACATACCCACAAATATTAGCCCTGACAGTCACCTATTTGGGGATTTATATACTTTATTTTCTAAGTTCAAAGGAGTTCTTGTCACATGGATTCGATATACCTTATTGTGTACAAAATAAATGTCCCTTCAGTACGAAGTATAATTTGACCATTTTGCCTGATATATATTGGTTCTCTTTTTAAATAATATTATGCAACAGCTTTATTTGAAATTTAGAAAAGAACCCATTCGGAATCATTGCTGGCTGCATTGGGTTGCAAAGCAGTTTACATTCGTAGCATCATTGACAAACCCATGGCTCATGGTATTGTTGACAATCTCGACAGCCTTGTTGATGATGGGCTATGTATCATGCTTTCATCGTTCCTGTTGAGCTCTTGTGTGCATGGAAAAGAGGAGGAAAGAGATCTGTCAATAGCATAGATGTTTTTAGAGGATGCCTTTACAGTTGGCTTATAGTTTTCACCGGTGCCTTCCTGCTCACATGTGTTTTGTTCGTCCTGTCCTCGTTGGTATATTCCTCGATTATCATTGTCATAAACAGTAATCTTCTTCTCTGTCCTTTATATGAGACTTCTCAGGCACAATAGTCTACTCCTTCGTCTGGGCAAAGATATTTTTGAACTCTTTCAATTTCTGAGGACCAAGGATCCGCTTGCCAGAGACTTCGTAGTTCCATTGCAAACCGTTAGTCATAAACCTTTACACATTTCCCTCAATGTCTAGATCAGAAAGGTCAGAATCAAACGAAAGGACCATCAGACATGAATTATTCCAGGGTTCAAAGTCTCTAACGATTGTGACTTGGACTAGGCGACCCTCTAGCTCCAGTGTGCTCTTCTTGCCGGCCACATATGATATGAGCATCTAAAATGTCAGACTAAATCAAAATCAAGAAGCTGCAAACTGGTCACCTCAGTTAGTTCATTCATATCAGTTCTCAGAGGAATACCGTGCCAACTATCTAATGACGTCTCCCTCCGGGATAACAAAGAATTCTTGGACTCAAGAGCTGCACACTGAGTATCTCTCATGCTAGGTTTCTTTGTCATTCCGAGGGGTAGCACTGAAACACCGAAAGGAACTGAAAGGAAAAGAAGCCGAAGGAACTCAGAAGTCATTGATCCCCTTGGGAGTATCAGCACTATCAGCTTTATAGATTGAGAATTCAACTTCAAATTAGAGTATGTTATCCATACTGTTTCTCACAATGAAACTTCTACCTGATAGTATATACTCTTTTAACTGCCAAGTGAAGTTATCATCTTAGGGAAAGAACACAAAACTTTATGTGCATAGTCTGCTTAGGGGCGATAAAACTATATTTTGTTTGTGATAGAGATGACAAGCCACTACACCCGAGGTTGAAGGTGAGCCTTGAGAAAGATTATAGTCAAACTTGTGACCTTAGGGTGAAGATCCCCTAATTATCCGATCATAGGATTTTAACCTCATCTTCTTCAATGTAGTCTACTAGTGAACCAAGGTTGTGTCTAAAACCCAAACAATGTGTGTACATGGCGGTGAAAACATCCGGAATCCCCCGCCCACCAAGGTTCTAAGGCCGAGTGTATACAACATCTCACGGATAGCACTCAAGACTTCGATTCTTCATGCTAACACAGTCATGGCCGACTCAACGGGATCAAGGAACAGTTTACCACCTCCACCTCCACCACCTCCCCCTCCCCCAGAGAACCCTTGCTCAAAAATATCCCCCACAGTCCTAAAGATGCGAAGCACATCTCCCAGCCACTTCTTTCAGCCCCAAGTCCGCCGATCTCAAAACCAAGGGCCTGCTCCAACAGGCCCATACTTCTTCTACGGCTCACTCCAAGACCAAAACCTACTCATAGAGCTGTTAGACCTAAGCCACGCCCCCCACCTACGACCCGCATACATCGAGGGCTACAAGTGTAAGCTTTGGGGACACTACCCAGCCTTGCTCTCTGGTGATCCCGTGGATACTGTCACGGGGGCAGTGTACGAGGTCCTTACATTTGATGACGCGGAGAAACTAGCGGCTTACGAGGGGCCTAGCTATACGACTGTTGCTTGCTCAATCCGGTATGCGGATGGCGAATCTCCAACACAGGCAGAGGGGTATGCGTTTCTCTTTGTGGGGAATACGCGTGATTTAAGTGAGGGGTCTTTTGATTTCAAGCTTTGGTTAGAGAGGAGGGCATTGGGAAGGAAGAGCTGAGGAAGATAGTGGCGCGGGGTGGGCTCATACTTCGGAGTCCGAAACGGGAAGTTATAGACTGTACGATAATACAGCGAGTCAAAAAATATCAGTTTCTCTGCTTATCTATGTTAGTCTGAGTCAGATGGACTAAATAACTATTGTCAGACTGGTTGTAAGCAACAATCCCAAGGAAGCATGACCAAAATAGAGTATGTGCAGAATCAAGTTGATGAACATCGCGGGGTAAACAGGGTAAGCGGCATTAGGAGACCGACCAAGGCACAGACAACTCGGAGACCAACAGAGGGGCAAGTAGAATCCTCGGCTGCAGCACGATTGAGGGGTAATAATCGTACATAATGGTAGATTGGTAGAATGATATAGAAGGTGACATGCAGGGCTAACTCGTCACCCGCATCTACTTCCCGCACAGTAGGGGGGAACCTTGGAAGGGAATTGATGTCCGAATCGAGAACACCCGCAATGCTTAACACGCAGACCCTGATAAACAAGTCAACAAGAGGACAAGCGCACAGGTGGCTTGTATGTCGTACATGGACCTCGCACTAGGTGCATTCCTCGGACGGATTCATACGGGGGCAACAGGGGCTACTTCCAAGGCAGGTGTCAACTATGCAGGATTTGCATTCTAAGATGACGATGCGAATGTGGACAGCATAGTTTGGAGTCTAGTTTCAATTAGGTACAATATATACATACTCCTTAGCATACAACGAGTATATACGGAGTACGGAGTATAGGAATAATAGAAAGCCAAATTCCAAGAATGTCACCGATACAAGTGACGTCAAGGGACCAGCCCAGATTATAGTGGGACCCGAGGGAGAGTGGATGTACCGGTACCTAGTACACACATATCATACTCGATGTTGGATGTTGGCGGTCGGGTTCAGCTGACTGGGGGCAAATGGAGATTAGGAGGTTACAGCCATGAGAATAAGAATGACATGTACATCATGAGTTCCAAGGACCGTGGGAAGGATTGAGGTCTACCTATGATCCACGTGCCCTGAATGACGGTTATCAGCCGATGATAGGGAAAACTAGGGTTACGCCCTGGAGCGCTGCAAGCGTTCATTAAAAGCGCACGAGCACTCAGGATCACCATGACTGGCCGATAACGACTTGGCATGAGGGGTTTATTTCGTTATTACTCAGGTATCTTTGGGGGGTACGGGGTAAGGGAAGGATTTCCTTGTATGAATAAGAATGACATGGAGGAGAGATGGTATATGAGGTATTCATCTTAAGAAAGATAGAGACTAGAGTAATGTATAAATAGTTGTAATAGTTAATAGTTAATAGTTAATAGTTAATTGTTAAGTTAATACTTTAATAGTACTCCGTATAACTACTCCTATACTCCTATAATAGGGAGAGCCGGATGCACCCGGTGTCCCACGAGGCGCCAATCAATTCACCCACGCGCTTTCCCAATTTCATACTTGGGGGGTTAAGTACAAAGGTCCAAGTCACTGGCCAAGTCACACTTTCAACTTATATTTCCCCTTCCTCGACTACTCCCCCCTGTTGGACTGGACAACTCTTCGACCTCTTCTTGGAATCCGCTCTTATCGCGACTATCTGTCTCCCCTTGCCGCGCATCCCCTACGTGGATCCAAGCCCTAAACAAAGTTGGCCCCAACTTCGCTACACGGCTACACGGCTACAGTGTCTTCTTGGTCGCGGTTGAAAGGTGAGTTCCTTTGTTTTGACTTCTTGGGCTCTTTCACTCTGAAACCATCCTGTTGCCACCTGATCTTTCCATGGTACCTTTGTTTGAGACCGTCTTCTGACTCATATACTCTGGCTCGCGCGCTTTAGGTTCTTCTCCTTTCACAAATCCATCTTCTCTTCATCATGGCTTTCCAGACAAACTCCAGCATTGCAATGGCTCTTGCTGGCAAGACTGCCTCCGTTGATATCCCTCAGCGCCGCTCTGGCCTGAGTGGCGGCCGTGTCCCTACGCGTCCCGGACAGCCTGCGATGCTGCCCACGCCACCTAACTCTATATCCCCGACCCTCCCTCCTCAGACCTTCAAGCACCGCGCGACACTGTCGCCAGGATCGCCGCTGGCCACCGTCCCCCAGTTGGACTCCGATATCGATCTGGAGGATGCGGAACATGACAACGGTCATCACTCCCTGCCTGTCGAGGACCTCGACAGTACTGGCGCGATCACCCCTGTCATGCTCTCGAAGTATCATCTCCCTGAGATCTTGCTGCACCAGGGGCCCTTGGCCATCCGCCACGTTATGGGTCATCTGACAACTTCCGTCCCTGGCTTTTCGCATATCCCCCCTGCCAAGGCGCGCAGACTGGTTGTTGCGGCGTTGGAGGGTCGAGGAAATGGAGGTGTCCAAGGCGACGTGGTGTTCGAGAAGGTTGGTTGGGGCCGCTGGGACGCGCGACGTCGTGGTGAACCTGCTCACGATCGGGATTTGAACGATCCGTCGTCGCCTCCCTCAAGTGTTGCAGGCTCGTTCCAGCAGCGTGGCCTGCAGATTCAGGGCCAGTCGGGTCGGCAGGGTGGCAACCATCATCCCTACCGCATGAGCTTTGCCGAATCCACGGCATTCTCGTACACCGACGATTATGGCATGCATGGAGACCTCGATATGTTAGAACACGAGGCCGATAAGATGTCTCTCGATGGCGACGACGGCGAATACTGCTCTTCCTCCGAAGCTCCCGACGAGATGCAAGAAACCGAGTGGGTTGAAGGCGATGACACTGATGAGGAAGACTGGGCACAAATTGGCGCCGACGCTTTGCGCGCCCGTTCGATGAACAACCACGGCAGTTTCATCAACGGCCATGTCGCTGCGCGCGCAAAGCCTCAACCTTCCGGGATTTTCCCCGCCACCTGTCCATCTGTGGCTAAGTTGCCACCCCGCACCTTTGACATCCAGGAACGCGCCGCTGTGGAGGCGCTCCTCTGCCTGGGCTCCATGTAAAGCCCCTCATCATAATCGGCGTTATATTTATTTCTACTCTTTGCGCGATACACTTCTTTCACATTCAAGGCCGTCGAAGCTGGTCTGGACCGCTTTTGGCGTTCCATGGTTTTTCGGCAAATATCCAAAAAAGTCCAAAGCCAGGAAATTTGGCTAGCTTGCAGTGCAACTACCTCGATTGATGGGCGTTGGGTTGGACCTTTGTGGTATTGGGTTTCCAAGATGGCGTTCAAGTCTGCGCCTTCCTCTTATGCCTGCTACGAAACACATTGTCATGACGATTCAGGGTAGCAGTTTCGTCGCTGCTACCACTATGACAACTCCAAATACCCCTTCTCTTCTCCGCTCTGCTATTTTTACGTGGGTTGGCTCAGTACTATTGTCTGTCACCTACTCATTCTGGCGTTTATCCTTGCATTAGTTGAGTCGGCTACCACTACTTCAAGACTCCTATGTTTCTTTTTTCATCCTACGGGCTTTTTTAATACTCTACTTTGTCCCTTTTTTTATATCGGCTTGCAACTCCCAATTACTTGGAAGATCTCAGCCATCTGGATTGAGGTTCTGGTCGTCTTTATTGATCGCACTGGCTCTTCTGACTTGGATGGAATCTCAGTCATCTTCACTGATCCAACTGAGAAGTTGTCCTCTTCCTCTGCTCTGCCTCTCTCTCTCTCTCCATATATTTATGTCTATCTTTATGTGCTCTACACATAATCTGTTGTACATTACAGATTCATCATCCTTGCATTACCCTGGAGGTTTCGGCTTCAGTTCTCGAGGCTGAATACTTTACGCGGATGAAAGTACATAATCACTTAGCTAGTTTAGAAACTTAACGCGTCGCATATCCTGCGCAGTTCAGTTGCCATTTTTCTCTTTCATTTGTAATCTAAGTGTTCATGGTATGTACTTATACTCATCTAAAGACCTTACAACGTCGTAGATGTAGGCTGCTGCCTGCATGTCCTCACACTTGAGCCCAAGTATCAGAGCTTTACCAGGAAGAACGTAGTCAGAACTACACTCCAGCGCCACTACTCATTTTCAAGATGCAAGTCCAACCAAAGCATTGGCATTAAAGATATCGTTCAAACTAAACTACAAGTACAATTCCCAAGTCCATAACCCAATTCAAGACTGCCATCAAGACATGCAAATCCTCCTCCAGAAACCCCATAATAAGACAGACTCCAACCTAACCCGTCCATCCCCTAATCATGAATATCATTAATCTTCTTCCAAACCCCCTTCTCAACCTCCGCCAACTTACTCCCAGACCACCTCATCCACCACTTCGCCGTACCCACAAACCCCTCCTCCTCTTCGGGGAAGATACTACTCGCCCCGCCACCAGACCCAGATCCAGCCCCAGCACCAGCACCGTAGTGCAGCGGCAGAGTCTGCGTCTGCGATCCCGCGTGCGTCTGGTACACAGACGAATAAGGCGTGGAGGTTGAGTTCGGAGTAGGCTGCGGCGGGTTGTAGGAGTATGATTGCGTGTAGTTTGGCTGCGTTGGCTGGGCTGTCTGGGTTGGCTGGGCTGTTGGTGGAGGCGGTGGAGGGATGGCTTCGCCGGCTTTGGGTGGTGGAGGGACTAGAGAGGAAGATGCTGTTCCTGGTCCTGTGTATGCGGTTGCTGGTGATGGGAGCGCGCCAGGTTGGGGTGCAGGTGGAGACTGGGTTGTAGATGTCGCGGTCTCCGGGAAGGAGGTTGTTGGTGGTGGTGTTGCTGTTGATGTTGCTGTTGGGGTCGGCTGTACTGCTGTTGCGCCTGGTTGGGGTGGTGCTGGTGGCTGGGTGGTTGTGTAGATTGGAGGATTTGAGGGAGCTGTGGCTGTTGCTGTTGTTGTTGCGAGTGCTGGTAGAGGTTGTGAGGGTGCGCTTGCTAGTGACTCGATTGCTGTGGCGGGTTCGGGCTGCGAGGTTGTTGCGTGCGTGCCTTCTTCCTCCTTGTTGGAGTTCACGGGCGCGGAGTTGTAGGTTTGGATACCTGTTGGGGCGGACATTTTAGAGGTTGATATACTTATTGTTCTGGGAGGCTTAGGTAGGGGAGTGAAGGAGCTTTGTAGCTTCAAGGAGCTTAGACGTCATGGGTATTGCCGCTGTGGAGCTTCGCCGCATTGGGACACCTTTCTTTTCTTTCTTTTTTTTGTCTGCCTACGGTTCAGTCAAGTATTCCGATGACAAAAATTATTGGGGCTCGAATGGTTGGCTATTTGCTTGCGCTTGTTTCAGTTATGTTCGCATAGCTAGAAGCATACAACATACAGGCAGCCAGCCCTCAATGGTTGATATATCAAAACTAGGCCAGCACAAAGAACACGTCTAAGGTCCGAAGCGCGTTGGTAGCTGAGTAGAATTATTTATTTACTTTCACAATGTTTACGAGGATCAAGTTGAAAAAACGAAAATAGTTTGCTGGCAGTAAAGTACATTGGGTACAAAAAGGGAAGAATTAGACCATTCTATGCTTCAAGATCCTTCGGACCCATTTCTTGACGCATCTATCTTTTGACCATCCCATATCCTCAAATTCCACGCCCAGTGGTTACACTGGGGGAGGTGAACACCCCCTTTTTCAGTATAACTACAGTGGCAAGAGACTCACGTTTCAGTGGATCGCTTAGAACTTCTTTCCGAGGAGGAGGAGCTGGGCCTTGTCGTAGATGGACAGGACACCGGCACCGGCGACACCACGGAGGATGTTAGCACCGGCACCCTTGAAGAGAGACTTGAAGCCCTCCTTGGCGATGATCTGGCGGGCAGCATCCATGGAGCTGGAGTACTTAACGGCCTCACCAGAGGTCATCATCATGCGGCGGCGAACGGTGTCAAGAGGGTAAGAGGCAACACCGGCACCGGTGGTGACGGTCCAGCCGAGCAGGAAGGAGGCGATGAAGGAGCCCTCAAGAGGACCAACGAGGAGAACGGGCTTGATGGAATCGTACATTCCGAAGTAGAGACCACGGTAGACGACAATTCCGAGAACGGAGGGACCGAAACCACGGTAGAGACCGGCAATACCGTCGGAGGCGAGGGTCTTGCGGTAGACATCCACGAGGCCGTTGAACTGGCGCTCACCGGTGCCCTTGGAGGACTTGGCGTCGTTGGCCAGACGGGTACGGGCGTAGTCCAGGGAGTAGACGAAGAGGAGGGAAGTGGCACCGGCAGCCTATAGGGTTTGTTAGCTGTGAGCGGTGTGTAAGAGGGTTTTCAGATACATACACCACCGGAGGCAAGGTTGCCCATCATCCACTTGCCGTATCCATCACGGTCCTTCTTGTAGGCGAACATGGACTTGTAGGTGTCGCGGAAAGCGAAGTTCAGAGCCTGGGTGGGGAAGTAACGGATGACGTTGGCAGTGTTACCACGCCACAAGGAGACAACACCCTCAGCGGCGGAGGTACGGCGGAAGCAGTCAGCAATGCCGTTGTACTTGCGGTCGAGACGACCCTGCTTGAGCATCTCATCCTATTTATCGATTTGGTTAGATACTAAAGTGATGAAAATATTGAGCTGCCGGATGGCACGGGCCAAGGGAGAAAATTTTTCACAAGCTGCGATCGATGCGAAAACACAACTCATGTCCAATTCAATCACAATCAATTGTTGTGATTCCCTGCCTCTGGCTCATTCCAATCGGTGCACGACGGGTGGTAACCAACCTGGTTCTGGATCAGGAGCTTGACACGCTCAATGGGGGCAGCAGCGGTCTTGGAGACAGCGGCGGAGACACCACCCACTAATACACAGTTAGTATGAAAACTCGAGACGTTGAAGCGAGCAATTGCTGATAATTGCAGATATCAAGCTTGACACGTACTCAGGAAGTCGACAACGAAGCCCTGCAAATTCTGTTAGCATGATTGCTCGGTTCACTTCACATCGAGAAAGCGATGACCGAGCCTTGAAACCGCATTTCGAAACAAGCTCGATGATGATTTGATGGTGGACATCTCATCGGTTTGAATCTTCACGCGACAACAAGGCCAGCTCTCACAGGCTCGCAGGGAAACACTCACGGGCATGCCGAAGATCGACTTCTCGGCCTGGTTAACATCACCGGAACCCATTTTGAAGATAGTGCAAAAGAAACCGGATGCAAAAAAAAAGAGAGGAGATGGAAAGAGTGTCAAGAAGAAAGAGACACCGAGGATAATGAAGAAGAAAAAGGAAGAGAGAAGGCGGGAAGGGGGGCCAGAAAAAAAAATACTCGACCGCCGGGCGCTAAAGCCCAATCAGGAAGCCCAGGAGGTTTAATTACCGTATAATACGGTTATCATGTCGGTATTGGTTTGCCTCCTGCCGATATCTCCCGATCCACTGAAAATTCTGCAATCTGGCCAACTGGTCTGGACGGTGCTATGGGCATATAGGGGTCTTTGTTGGACTGTCAAATGGACCACACGGTTTTTGTCTGCAATACAGCTACTCCACAGAGTCACTTTTGTCTCTATCCTTGGGAAATCAGTCAATATCCTTTGTTTTCACTGTGATCATCGACATCCTGTAGTCCCGAGCAACGGTCCAAGCGTCGGTGCATTGTACCGTAGGGGTACGGTGTATATTTCCCTATCCAATGCCGGGCCTCCACCTCCCGGGGCAACCTCCTTTTTGCTGGCCGGGTATCCGATGGCGAACCAGACAATGATATCTCGGACTTGCCACCGACGGGATTATTTCCTTCTAGCCCTGTGTTCTGGGGCTTTTGAATGATTTCGAACGTCCTCGGGTGTGCCATTTGAATTCGAACTTGAGCCCAAACGACCCGATATTACTAGTTGCGGAGGGAGTAGCCTTTTTCGTATTCGGGCGAGTGGATTCTCCCCAGGTCTCCTCTCTACACTATCTTGTTCCTTCGGTACTTACTTGTGGGATTGTCTAACTAGGGCATTGTAGCATAACTAAACAACCCAATCGAGCAAATGTGATCCCACCCAGGTCTTGCAGTAATACGGAGACGACACTGCGATATGTGAGGGATCCGTAGACTTCCAAGGTTGATGAGACATTTTTCCTGGCTACTATTTTTATGTCGCGGGTACAAACCTTAAGGTGATAGATCGCCGCATGGACGATGTACCTAGGTACTTCACATGTTAGGCAATGCTAGGTACCCAATAGTACAACATTGGCTCCACCTCCCTTGGTCCTCAGGGAAATTTTATGTATGGAGCACTACGTACGTCCAACGCATTTCAAGCTGCATAGCAATATTTGGAGCTTCCTATAGCTTAAAATCAAATTTCCCGAGGTTCACCCCAGCAACCACTAGCGCCTGAGTGGGCCCGCATCGCATGTTAGCTTTCCGCTTTGGGAGCTACGGAGTCCTACAGGTATGCATACGGGCCTGAAAACCACTAGATTTGGAGAAAGTCTTTCTCAATAGAACTTCAGGATATGATGATAGCTGTAATATCTCCAACATTTGGGCGACAAACTAGAGTCGCAATTTGTGTTCTATGTTATAGCTTTCAGCAAATATATATTCCGAGTACTACCACATAGTATCAAGCACGTGCTAAACCTGTATACTTGCGTTTTTTCAGCACTTCGTTCATTTCGACACAATGACTTTCGAAGTTGAGATACTATCAAGTTAAAGAGAAAATAATTTGGTTCATTCCATAAATTGATTCGAAAAAGGTATAAACAATGGTAGATTGACAGATGCAACAACTTTTAATGCTTCTTCGACCTCTTTCTCTTCTTACGTGTGCCATCTCCTTCTCTAATATCAACCTTATCCTCATCCACAGCATCCTTAGGCTGACTAGGTTGGACATCACCGCCGAACTTGAACACCGGCCCATTCTCGTCACCGAAAGTGTCCTTGCGCCACTCGCGAAGCCGGGCCTTCTTGCCCAGCCTCTTCTGATCGCGCCGCTTCTGCTCTTCCTCGCGGAAGGTGGCGAGCTTCTTCAGACCAGCGAACTTGTTGAGCTGTATGTCGTCCGCCATGAGGATGTCCCGTGCCGTCAAGCCAAAGCTCTGCGGTGAGGTTTCGCGGTAGCGGAACTTTGTGGCGTTCTTCTTTGTAGCTCCAGGAAGCAAGGTGATGTCGAGATCCAGGTTGCGCTCAACCGCATCGTCAATGCGAAGACGGTCTTTGCGGGCCTCACGTTTCTGAATCCGCTTCTCTTCGGCCTTGCTCTTCTTCTTAGATCCGGAAGCCTCGTCGTCATCTTCGTCTTCGGCTTCTGATAGTTCGACTGTGGGCTTCGCTTCTTCATCCTCGTAGTCTGGGACCAAGTCCTTGATATCGATATCGTCATCCCACGTAGGCTTCTTAGGGTGCTTCTTCATCTTGCCTCCCTCATTTTCGCTGTCCTCGCCCTCCTCCCCGGCGTAGTACTCCTCACCAAACCGTTTTTGCATCTCCGCTTCCCAGTTTGAGTCGTCCCAGGAAGCATCCAGGAAACGAGACCAGTCGTCGTCCGTGAATTTTGAGGCACGAAGTCCTGCAACCTCCTTGATTTGCTCCACCTTTTTCTGTAGTTCTTCTGTCTTCAGTTTGCGAAGACGATTCTTCTCAGTTTCGCGTTGCTTTTTCTCCTCATCCTTGAGTGCGCGCTCAGCGTCGCGGATCTTCTTACGGGAACTCTTCTCTTCGCGACGGACGGATTGCTTGTTGGTGAGATCACGAGAGTGTGTGACTATCACCTCGTTCATCTTGTTGGGGTCTTCAAATCGGAAGTTGTACGCTTCTTCAATAGCTTCCGCCCGGTCGACGTCGTCGTCCTCATCCGAATCGAACGGATGCAACTCTGGCCTGTCGGTGGGGATCCAGGCTCGTGCTGACAAAAAGTTGGACAGGAAAGTCTCGGGGTCTTTGTCCGCATTCTCGATATCGAGTTTGATTTCAGATTTAGGCAACGAAATGTCCTGGCCGGGCTTGCGGACCATGAACTCGTCGGCATCTTCCATCTCTTCGTCAGACTTGTCTGCCGCTCCGTGCATCTCCTTGACAATAGCATTCTTCAAGTCGGCTTGCTCTTGGGCATAGGTCCTTGGGGTATTGTCCTCTTCAGTTGGGTTGACACCACTCAGAAGATTTTCCGTATGGTATTGTCGCAGCGTCATGGACTTTTCCTTGGGGCCCTTTCCGGCGGCGGTTTCCTCTGGGTTGTACTTGCTGTAAAAGCTGGCATCTTTGTCGTAAACGCGAGGATCCTTCGAACGAATAGCATTCAAAGTCGCCGAGATTTCAGCATCCAGAGCTACTGTAGCGAGCTCTGCATTGTCGTCCTCTTCTTCGGAGTCGGAATCCTCAGAGTCTTCGTCTGGGCGGTTTCCAAGACTGGAGGACTTGCCATACTTCGCTTCCACTGTGGATTAGGCCAATATTAGCACATGCGACTAAAGCGCAAAAATTTCGAGTGTAAGCACGTACACCTCGCAACTTCTTCTCTCTTCTTGTTGTGTTCAAATCGACGAGCGTAGTCTTCATTGATCGTGAACCCGGTATCAGACGACTGCTTGCCGAGGAGAACTCCACCAGCATCGTCCCCAGAGTCACTATCGCTATCTTGATCCAAGAGCTTTCGCATCTTCTTAGAAGGAGGCTCCATTTTGTGTGATCAGGTATGTGATTGAAGACCGACTCGGCGAAACCCCCAATTGGCAGAAAGAAAAAAAAACCTCACACCGCTCGCCACATTGAAACCCTTGAAAATCAGGCACAAAGGCAGAAACCCAATCCTTGACGTAGCCAATTAGATCATCGGGGGCTCATCTGAACAGGTCTGAGGAGGTCTCAGGCAAAGCCGAGACCGCTACAAGCCAGAAAATCATACACGTGGGTTCTCTCCAGGGCTTGGAAGTTGAATTGATCACCAAGTGGCATGAACGAGAGGAGGCCTATTCACACCTCTCGCGTCTCGGTCTTTACTCGCGTTAAGTGTATGGCCGGAGACATGCCCTAGATGTCGACTCAAGCACAAACCCCGTTACCCCAAGTTGGGAAACTTGTGAGCGTTGTGTGAGTATCTCATATGTCTGATATTGGAATTCTCGTTCTTGTATACTAATGCATGCGCCCCTTTCCAGCCCGGTCGGTCTCAAAGAAGCCGCTCTCGACTCGCCCACCTTTCGTGCCACCACCCTTTATTTCTCCGATCAGATCGATTTCATAGAGAAATGGCTCGACGGATATGCCAAAGCTGCAACCAAGCTCTCCTACGAGCTGACCGCTATGGAGAGTGTAGTGAACAACTTTCTTTCCTACTCGACACATCCCCTCGTGGTCTCGGAAGCGGTCGTTGACCATGATTACACACTTTTGGCTATGAGGAGATGTGGTGAGGGGTCTAAAGATCTTTGGAGTGGACTCATCGCAACAACCAGAAAGTTGGAGTCGTTGATTTCCGAACCTATTCGAGATTTCATTCAAGAGGATCTGCGGCAGTTCAAGGTATTAAGAAGCCCCTGATCCAATCTGTTCTCGGATTATCTGACACGTCCAAAGGAAATTCGCCGCAACCTCGAGCAATCACAGAAACAGTACGATTACCTCCAAGCTCGATATGCCTCTCAGTCGAAGTCCAAGGAGGCCTCGGCCCTGAGAGAAGAAGCATTTCAGCTGCACGAAGCCCACAAGGCCTACCTGAAAGCATCAATGGACTATTCAGTACAGGGTCCTCAGGTACGAAATGCACTGGACCGACTTCTGGTCAAAATCTCCTGCGATCAATGGCGGGAATTCCGGGGATTTCACAATCACAACAGCGGGACCTTCTCGAAATGGTCCCGTGAGATGGATCGTATTAAGGGTTGGGTTAATGAGATGGAAGGCAGTGAGAAATCATCCAAACGAGAGCTGCTATCCACCCGGAAGCTCATTGAGGAAGCCGCGGAGTTTGCGGCTCGACCGTCTCGTGAACTGGAGGACTACAATATTTCGACCGTTCCGTACCTTGGCTCTCGTCCTATTTCGGCACTTAATGTGAGCAAAGAGATGAGACCAGAGAAGCAAGGATGGTTGTATTTGCGCACAATGTCAGGAAAGCCTACTCGCACAATTTGGGTCAAACGGTGGGCTTTTCTCAAGCACGGCATATTTGGGTGTCTTGTACAGGGCTCTCGTACTGGCGGTGTTGAAGAGAGTGAAAGAATTGGTGTATTGCTTTGCAGTATCCGTCCCGCATCACAGGAGGAACGCCGGTTCTGCTTCCAAGTGAAGACCAAGAACAATACCATTCTACTTCAGGCAGATAACCAGAAGGAGCTGATGGAATGGATTGGTGCCTTCGAGGCGGCCAAACAAAAAGCACTGGAGAACCCCGCAAGCACTGATCTCTCGGTTTCTGGAAAAGTCACAGTTCAAGACCCTGCATTTTCAATTTCTCAACCCCCGGCTGCGGAGTTCGCTGCGGATCCTGCTGACTCTCTTACCCCTCATACGAACGATGAGTCCGGAGCGGGGGATCGCAGTATGACGCTTCCTGTTCCAGACCGTGATGGATATACTATGAGAAATAGTACCGATATTGGAAGCAGCAGAAGACCAACAGGCTTCGATAGTGAGAGCTCTGCAAGAGAACATGCAAGAGAGCATACCTCTAGACTCATCCAAAAGTTGGATCTTCACCGCAAATCGAACAATGCGGCTCCACTATCTCCTTCCGTCCCCGGCCCTGCAGGTGGAATAGCCAGTCTCATCTCTGCCAGCCACAATATTCTCCCTTACAGCAACGCCGGTCCACTCAACGCCAATGTCGATGGCACTCGAGGTCGCAGTTTAAGCAACGTGGATGATCCTGGCTCAAGTCTTGCACCTGCCACGCTCGCCAATCCCCCGGCACCCACAAGCATGAGCAAGGCGGCAGTGGTTGTGAGCAATGAAAGAGGTATTGGGATAGGCGTCTCTGATAGCACGGGTGGTATGCCTAGTGGTATGATGGCGAACGTGTGGGGTAGCTCTAACTGGGGTTTCATGAACAAGCTTCGACGGGACCAACACCAGATTGATGGAGTATCTGATGGGCCGTCTACATTGGGTGATGGCTCAACACACACGATTGCTGCACAACCCGATGCAGCGGGTGCTTTAGTGGCACCCCGACAGCAATCAGGTCCACGCCACAGGCAGACAGTAAGCCTTGATGGGGACGATGTTAAGCTCACGCAAGTTGCACTGGGTATCGGGTATGAATATCCCAGCTACTACCCTCAACAATTGAGGATTCAAGATGCTCAGTTCAGATTGCTTTTCCCAGACGTCAAGAGAGTGGAAGCATTGGTCTTGGTGTTCAGAGCCACCTGGAGCCCTAACAACCAGCAAGAATTCCCCGGACGAGCTTATGTCACAACAAGGAACATCTACTTTTATAGCCATCATTTCGGACTGGTTTTGACTACCGGTGTGTCTTTGGAGAGCATTAAGGAGGTAACTGCAGCTCCTGGGCGAGACTGTGACTTCCTTTTCCTTCATACTATTCCACCCCTCGGCAGTGATACTCCTGGCCGGGTTACGATCAAAACTTTCCTTGAACCTCTCCGACTGCTTCAAAAACGACTCAACTTCTTGATCCAATGCTCCATTGCCGTCGAGCAATTGAGTTTAGAATCTTTGATCAAAGCACTGATCAAGATGGACACTGAGTCTTCAGCCCGAACTTCCAGTGCAGATAGCTGGGATGATCTTTCATCCGGACTCGCAGGCATCAAACATGACGGGGGCAAAACTACAGACCTGGGCCATGCGAAGGACATTCGACTGCCTATTTACGTTGACAAAGATCTTGAGCTGGATGGAGGCAGGACTGCCCGTGGTCGGGATATTGCTAAATTCAGACTTCCAACACAACCCGTGGAGTATGTTCCACAAGGCGATCTTGTCTTGGTGACCGAAAAAATTCTCGATATAAGCCCTAAAGCTTTGTTCCATATATTATTTGGCGACAAAAGCGCCGTGTGGCAGCTTCTTTTACACGAGAGGAAAGCTCTAGGTTCGTTTATTCTAAATCCTTAATCACTTATACATGGCTGACATTTCAAAGAGATCCAACAAGGCCCATGGGCTAGTACGGACTTGCGGCATCTGAAGCGTGACTTCCACTACAATATCGCCACGACAGATATCCTTGGTAGGCTTGATTATTGATGATCTTGAGATCGAGCCATGACTGATTTTGTATAGGTCGTACTCATGAAAATGCGATATCGGATTATCAGATCATTGATGTTCTCAACGACCATCTGTGCTACGTGATCACAGATAAAAAGACTCCGTGGCATCTCCCCTTCCGACGTTCGTTCCGGTTGGTTACCAAGGTTGTCATTACATTCCAGGCCAAGTCGAAGAGCAAGCTTGCTATTTATACGAAAGTCGAGTGGCTGTGGTCTCCCTACGGCCTCAAAAGTGAGTTATCCCCTCCCATCCCTCCCATTCGAATAATCTAACATACCCAGACGTGATCGACAAAAAAGCAAGTGAAGATCTAGAACAAGACTCCTTGGATCTTGTCGACCTAGTCAGTGACCAAGTACGTCGATTGGGTGCACACAGTCGCACCAAAAAAGCCATCACGATCTTCGGCCATGTTGGACGCCAAAACAACGTCTCCCAATTTAGTGGCGCTGGTTCCAACCTGAAGCTGGAACCCCGCAAGCCCCGAACACAGCGTGCTATGCACGACCTTCTTTTCGAGACCTTCTTGTCATTCCTCGAAACGAGTGTTTCCTTCATAATGGTGTGGGCGTTTGACGTAGTTTGCTGGTCTTGGAAGACCATGAGTGCTCACAAGATCATCCTGACCATGTTGGCTACAAGTGCCATTTTGAATGGATACTATTCTTCGCGGGATAGTTGGGACTGGTGGCACGAGAGACATGCAGGCAACTTCATGGCACGGCTGGGTGTACAGCCAAACCTCGTTATGAGCAAATCTATCTACATGCGGGATATTGATGACGCGGTTGCAAACTCCACAATTTGGCCCGGCGCCGGCAATGCCAGTGATTGCTTTGCTACCTTCCACGAGCAGACCATGCGGTATGTCGATATGCCTCTGTCGCTCAGTCCATCCGGACCCCGGGATGCATTGACCAAGAGCGCCATCAAACGCTTCCAGCAAACTCGTGAGCGTCTTGGCATGTATCGACACAACCTTCTTGTCGCATTGCGTGTCGTGAACAGTATTGAGAAAGAGGTCGTCCAGACGGAATGGGAGCGTTGGCTGCGCGAGGAAGTCCGGCGCTGTCGCCAGGTCGAGGTTCTCCTTGGCGGAGAGGCCACTCCGGGCGACGACTCGCAGACGGGCCGAACGACCAAAGCTGAGCGTGTCTTTGCCGAGCATGCTGACAACGTCAAGCAGTGGCATGAGGAGTACTGCTCGAGTTGTCGAATGGAGCAAGAACATGTCATATCCAATGATCGTGACCTAATTCCTTGATTTTCTTCCTACAGCAGTTTCCGTCTCCGAGCATATTGTCAAGCCTTCTGTACAGCCATCTCATTTCTTGCTTCTTGCTTATCACTATACCCTGTGGCTAGCTGATCATATGTCAAAAAACCTTGTGTATAATTCCGGCGCATATCATACAAGTCGTCATTGCTTTGAATGTACTCTGTATATCTGTATACCACATGGATAATGTCATTTCACTGCTCTTTTGAATGAGTATTCGTCACATCATATAGTTAACCCGTAAGGGTTGAGAATGCAATAGGTTTATTATGTACATATGAGAACCATCAATATCCACGCACTCAGTTCTGCCTCGGCTTCACCTCACCTTCATGCACAACATAATACGCCACCGTCCCGTCCCCACCCATCCCCTTATCCACCATAGCAAGCAAAAACCTTTGCGCACCCCATTCTTTGGTCAAACGAGTCTTCTCCTTCTTATCATAGTATTGAGCCAGCTTTTCTGCCTTTTCAGGATTCAGATTCGCCGCCTCCGGCTGCATGCTTGTAGGACCGACAGATCGATCATGCTCTTTAGCCTTTTGCTCGAACTCAGGAAGCCGGTCAAACACAGCACCCATATGACGCAAGGTCCACGGCTGACCCTGTGTAGTTGGTACCACGAAAATCCGCTCCGGCTTCAGGTCCTCATCGCGGATTCCGTTTTCTAGCATGTACAGCTGCTCATCTGGATGTGTGTACACGCGGTGTGGGGGGTAGCCGGATAGCAGAGGGATTGGTTCTTGTGGTGATTGGCGGGGTTCTTTTTTTAATGTGTTTGAGTCGTCTGATCGTCCAGGAATGATGTCTCCTTTTATAGAGGTCCAGAGGTGTTGGTGTTCGAGGTTGTGCTGGACCTGGGCGGATGTTGCGAGGTGGGGGGACTCATAGCCTTTTTCGGTGATGCGCTCGGTGATCGCCGATGCCTTGGGCTGTTTGGTGGCTTCCAGTCTGTCTGCCATCATGAATATTTTCTTGGAGCTTTTTGTCTTGTAAGACTTAACAGAGGAGCTCCGGTTGAGGATTTTTGGGATTCACCGCCTGGATAGATCTGATTTATTGACACCGCTTTCCTCAATTGGATTGTATAGTTGAGATAAGAGGCTTGGAGACTCCGAGGTTAGAAGAGAGATTTGGAATGATAAAATGAAGAATGGCAAGTCAGATACTTCTTCCATCTTTGCACCATGAGTTCAAATAAAAATAGAACAGAAAAATTTATGTGGGGTGGCGATCATAATAAGGCGAAGTAAGAACACATGGCATCTTGTTGTTTTGGTTTCAGGACTCCAGGACCCGACAACCTAGGACTATCCTCGACACAGGGTCATTTTCCCACCTTTTCGCATAGTTTATATCGCCTTGTCTTGTTCGAGTCGCTTGGATTTTCAACTTGTATTCCGCCTTAATTACTCGCCATGGGACGACAAAAGCAAGCCGCGCCGCTCAAGAGAGCCCCCTCTTCTCAATTAATGCACATCTCAGAAGAGTCCGACGTGGGACAAAATTCTGGAAACAATACAGACACAGACTCGACCGCCAAGGGAAGCGTGTCCGAAGAAGCATCAGCGGCCCTGGAGACAGTCACCGACAACCCTGGGCTGACGCAACTTGCGATTTGTGTTCTCGGTATATATGCGGCATTGTAAGTGCCTCCACCGCTAGGACTGGCCGGAGAAACTAACAAGACGAAAAGCCTCTCGTGGGGTGTGCTACAGGAGGCGATCACGACAACCAGCTATCTCGTTCGTCCTGCAACCGTTGCGGAGCCAAACCCTCCAACGGAGCGATTCACCTACTCGCTGGTGCTGAACACGGTCCAATCTCTCTTCGCGGCCATCACCGGCTTTGCATACCTACTATTCTCAACACCGAGTGGCCAAAAAATTCCATCTATCTTCCCTACACGCCGGATCATCGTCCCCCTGCTTCTAGTTGCAATCTCCTCGTCACTTGCGTCACCCTTCGGCTACGCCAGTCTCGAACACATTGACTACCTGACCTTCATCCTCGCCAAGTCATGCAAGCTCCTCCCGGTGATGGTCTTGCACCTGACCATATTCCGCAAGAGATACCCACTGTACAAATACGGTGTTGTCCTGATGGTCACTCTCGGCGTCGCAACCTTCAGTCTGCACCACCCCGGAACTAGTAAGAAAGTCGCTGCCAAGGACCAGTCTGGATCCTCCGGCTGGGGCATCTTCTTGTTGTCAATCAACCTCCTTTTGGATGGCCTGACCAACACCACGCAAGACCACGTCTTCTCCTCGCCCAAGCTGTACACCCGCTTCACCGGACCCCAGATGATGGTCGCTCAGAATGTTCTCTCGACCGTTCTGACTTCTGCGTACCTCCTGATCATGCCGCATCTCTCACAGAGCGGGATTTTGCACAACCTCCTGCCATTCCCCATTCCCCCGTCTAATGAGACTGAACTGTTTGGTGCCTTCTCTTTCCTCTCTCGCCACCCGGAGGCACTGAAGCATGTCCTTGGGTTCGCGGCATGCGGGGCTGTTGGCCAGCTTTTCATCTTCCACACTTTGTCTCGTTTCTCTTCACTGTTGCTTGTCACTGTCACCGTTACACGTAAGATGTTGACTATGCTCCTCAGCGTTTTCTGGTTCGGGCATTCTCTGTCCCGTGGCCAGTGGCTGGGGATTAGTCTGGTCTTCGGCGGCATCGGCGCCGAAGCAGTGGTACAAAGATCAGAGAAGAAGGCGAAAGAGCAGTCGAAGATTGAGGCTGCAAAGAAGAAGTTGTGAGTTTTTTTTGCGAGGCTTTATAGATAAGCCTTCATTTGAAGAGCATTTAGATTCCCAAAATATAAACCGCAAGTTACAGCCTCTGGGTGGCTTCTCATTTTACATATTTTTCTCGGGTCTTTTGTGGGTATATTCTTAAGGTGATCGTTCGTCTTTCAGAGGACGTAAGTAATGGGAAGAAGCTCACTTCCGCCCCTCAACCATGATGATATGATATCCAAACCCAGTCTTGACCTCAGCATACTTGGGATTTCCCGTTGTGCTAGTTTCAAGCTCAAAAGCAACATTCTCAAATGCAGGGTCCAGCCCGCCCTTCGTCTTCCATCCGAGCGACCCTCCTGCGGAAAAGAGATCAGCCGTGTTACTATCGTCCCTCAAAGACTTACTTACCCTGTCTAGCCTTATCCTCCGAGAATTCACGAGCAACCTCATCGAACTTGGTGCCATTGCGAAGCTTCTCTAGGGCTTCTTCCTTCTTGGCGTGTTTCTCGCACTAGATGTGATTAGAATGAGCTATATAACAACCCTTTCCCCTGTCCACGGATCTGGTGGTATATCGGCTACCCTCAGAACTATAGGCACAGGATCCGAGATTGAAAAGAGAAGAGCCAAAAAACATACAAGAATGTGCCGCACGTTAATCGACTGTGCGCCTTTCACTGCTCCTCCCTTTCCACCTTTTCCCTTGGCGTCGTCAGCAGAGGCATCCTTGCCTTTGCCCTTCGCGGCTTTGGCGTTGTTCTTGGGGGCCATTGTGGAGGAAAGGTATCAATAATACGTTGTTATCGCTGTCTCGGCCGTTGCTTGTTCAGATTGAGTTGATGTGGGGTGGAAACTGATGCCTGAGGCTGTCAGGCAGAAAGGATGTGTGACGTGGATGCGGGTGTATTGACTCTCTGCTCTAAAGAGTTCTAGTTAGGCATATGTATGGAATTATCCCAGTTTACACATTGCAGCGTCTTGATTTCTACAAAACCATTTATCTCTACTTTCCCTTCGCCTACACTGCCAACCCCTCATCGATAGCGATTGCTGAGACAAAGGACCGAAGTCAGCAAGGACTAGGGACTACGTATCTACTAGTCCGAGTTTGAAAACCAAATGGGATTTGATCATGAAAAGTCACGCATCATCGCATTGCCCGAGGATGCATTCTATATATCGGACTTCATTACAGAAGACGAGGAGGACTGGCTACTTCAGAAGGTAAGTGACAGTGCTTTTCTTGTGAACATGTGTCCTCAGAAACCATGCCCTAAGGGATTGATGTCAAATATTGCACGAATATATGTGGTTATCATTATGTCATTTTTCTTCAATTATACCTATTTAGACGTTGCATGTCACTTATTCATGCTCAGATCTCACTCACTGCAACAATTCACAGGTAAAGTCAGCACCGCTGCCGCGCTGGACCCAACTCTCGCACCGCAGACTTCAAACATGGCCATCAGCCCTCACCAAGGGCAATGCTCTTCTCGAATCGCCCTTACCAGCTTGGCTTCGATCACCGATCGTCGAGCCGCGGTTTGAGGCCCTGTGTATCTTTAACGATGCGCCACACAAGGCGCCCAATCATGTCCTAGTAAATGAGTACCAACCTGGACAGGGGATCATGCCACACGAAGATGGAGCTGCGTACTATCCCCTCGTTGCGACAGTGAGTCTAGGGGCACCAATTGTGCTCAATTTGTACCACAAACATGCCCAGGAGGACAGGGAAGAAAATGAGGCACCAGCCAAGACCGGAAGAGATGTTGCCGGGATACCCGACACAAACCGAAGGCCCCAATACAGGATCTTGCAGGAGAGACGGAGTCTCCTGATCACGAGGGGCAAGATGTACACAGACTTTTTACATGGCATCGAGGAAACGACGAGAGATGAGGATCTTAGCTCTCGCTCTATATGCAACTGGGAGCTCTTGCGAGAGAGGGAACCGTACCAGAGCGGGTGGTATGAGCGGAAGACGAGGACTAGCCTTACGTACAGGGATGTGCTTCAGGTTGTGAAGATGGGGAATACCTTGAAGTTTTTAGCTGGGAGGTAACGATTACCTCATTTCCAAATTCCGGTTCTTTTATTTATTTTTAGCTCTATGTTAGTAAACATATGGAATCATAAACCACCAGTCCTGCACCGAGTCTTTGCCGAACTTTTGCGCATACCACTGCTTGGTATTCCGAGCTGTCAGACCCAGGTTGACCGCGACGAAAGCCAAACAAGAAAACATAGTTTTATTGATCCATTCACCTCGCGGAGCAGCCAACAGCGCTAACGAGAGATAGATGATGCATTCTGCGCCATAGTGGGGACAGGCAACACCGCGGAACATGGGATGCTCCGGAAGGGTATATTTTTTCAACGAGTAGAGGTAGTGATGGGAGTCATGCTGCAAACCAGACGCCACCAGGAAGAGCGGGACGAGAAAGAAAGTACGCAAACTTGGGGCGTTGGTCATCTGTAGATGAGCAATGGTCAGGTTTTTGGTCAACAGAGTGCCGGAACCCTCGATCCAAATTGCAACCCCTGCCGCTAGGTAGAAACCCAAGCCTAACAACCAGTGCATAAACCACATCTGGGACGACGAGGGTTTGGAGAAAACAAAGCACTCCCATAACCGCCGCGATCCTTGTATAGTCAATAGAACACAACAGATCACCAACTGAGTCAGGGACATGGAATGACGTTGGTGGTCCTCGCTGACGCGGGATGCAATGGCTTGGAAAACCAAACCCCGCGATAGCAATTGCGCAATCCAGAAGACAGACGACAGGACAGATGCAACATAGAAATGAGTGAAATAACTATGTGGCACCTGCCAAGTAGCAAGATAGTCAAGGAAGCCCTTGCTCTGGGTGGGAGGGTTATGGGCGGTCGATGGTGCAGAGCCGGTCGAGGCCGAGGCCGCGCGTGGACCGTAAGTGAGGAAGCGGGACCGTAGTGAGGTTGGGATGCTGATCGAGAATGTCTGCATAGGGGGGTCGGCGTTAGTCGGGTTCATCTGCAGGTGGTGTTCACTATCACCACTATCACAGCGCGTATCGTACCGTGGCGGCGGCCAGCAGGAAGAACGCGCGTAGAGCATCCACGGCATCCATGCCAGTGGCATCCAGGGTGTGATCTACCCATTGAGAGATTAGAGACATGGCTCTTGGATGAGCGTTTTTTTTCCCCCGTCTCTGTTTCGTATTGTTTCTTTAACTTAGTGTCATTGTGATGATATCAGTGAGGTGTTTTAGAGGTGTTTGTGGTGGAGAAACCCAGCCCCCCCCGCCGATCCCTTTCGCCAACGGGGGCGTTTGGAGTTAGTTCGGCCTCGGGGTTAGCTCAGGGATAAGAACAATTAGGGTAGATAGAAGATAAAGAGGCAATTTGCGTCTGATAAGAGTTAGCTCTAAGTTTCTTGTAGAGATGTTTCATGATAATAGGCTTCACAAAATGGATGGGCCGGTGCGCTGAGTGGCGACTTTTCGAGGCAAATCCACTTGACCGTATTGGGTCTAGTCTGGTCAGGGTGTTTGTCACATTTGCAACATCCAAATTGGGTTAGTGGCCAAAGGTCTGTGCCCCCTTTTCTCGGTATCACGGTATCAGCCGTATCGACCGTATCAACCGTATCAACCGTATCGTCTCCCGTATGGAGTCTTCGCCGAACGAGAAGGACATCCAAGAACGGATTATGAAAAAACAAAAATTGAAATAATCAAATATCAACATGGGTTATAACCTCACCCCCTCTAAGATACAAGCATGTTTCCAGTAGCCAAAATCCAACCTGCAGCTCGATGATTCTACTGTGGCCAAACCTGCCCCAGTGAGGAGCCCTAGCCCAATGAATCCAGTCCCATTCCTTTCCCTTCCCGCTTTTCCTCTTTATTTCTCTTTCTTCCCCCATTCAACTCCCAAGTGAAAAACAACCCTCGATCTCATCCTCGATCTATATATCCATACCAGTAAATCCTATATCCGGACCTCTTCGACCAACTTTCCGTATCGCTCCCGTATCTCGGAGCGGTATTGCCCACGTTTCAAGACTCTCTTTGCGGGTGAAACCCGCGGTCGAGGATCGGTGTCCGCGCACAACTGCTGGCGTTGTCGACCACGGTTGTTTTGTCGGTCGCGTTTTCCCCCCAAAATGACGAGCGGCATTTCAAGTCTTCGAGTGCTATCGCTATGAGTGATGTCGAGGCAGTCTCTTTACCAGCTGCCCTGGACGTCGGTCAGAATAGGCTTGCCACGGTAAAGCCAGACCCTGTTGGTCCTTCATCACCAGGCAAAGCTCGTGCAGACCCTCACCCACGGGTAAACAGCAATGGACCGACACGTGTACATTCGGAAGGGGAGGAGGACGGGCCTCCTAGTCCTAGGGCGGATTCGGAGGCTGAGACAATAATTCAATCAGGTCGGGAGTCCTTGTCACCGGAGAAGAAAAGGAAGCATATCAAACACGATCCGAGTCGCCATGAGCCTAACGGAACCGATGGACATCAGCGAAAGAAATCACGGGTGCTTGACGACACTCGACAACGCGAACGCGAGCAGGAACGCAGCCCTCCGTCTCCAAGCCACCGAGAAATCTCGCCATCGGTGGTCAAGATTGAAAAGGTCGATGATTCGCAGATGTCAGAAACGGAAGGCGTTACCAATGGAGTCGACCTTGCGTCAGAGATACCTCGTGCTTTCCGTAAGCGAAGCTTAAGTGACAGTGCTGAGGAACAACAAGATCATCGTCGCGCACATCCTGTGCAGGAACTTAAACATACCAATAATACACGCCTCTCCAGACCTCCGTCCAACGCGCGATCACTCTCACCCAGTCGACCCTCTCACCAACGATCTGCTTCTGGCTCTCAGTTCCCGAAGAAAAAGGCGCCAACCCCTGTGCTCACAGGCTCTGGGCGACATAGCTCCGAAGACAGACAATCGACGTCCTCTTCTCAAAGCAGTTCTCCACTGCCGGGAGCGCATCTACGGAAGCTTGGTTCTGGAGTCGGTGCGTCCGCATCGCCTGCTAAGCAAATGGGACCGAAGAAGTTGCGTGACAAGAGTGGCCGGACTCCTCTTGCACGAGCGTGTGCGGACCGGAAACATGATCAAGTGATGATGCGCCATGCTGAACGCCCAGAAGACATTAATATCCCCGATAATGCAGGCAACACCCCCCTGCAGATCGCATCACTTGCTGGCGAAGCCGAAATCGTTAAGTTCCTACTAGATGCAGGCTGCGAGATTAACACTAAAAACATTGACAAAGACACACCGTTGATTGATGCTGTGGAGAATGGGAATGTGGAGGTGGTCAAACTTCTGCTTGATGCAGGTGCCAACCCACGGACTGTGAATGCTGAAGGCGATGAACCTTATGAGTTGGTTCCGTCCTTTGTAGATGATGATGAATACGAGGAGATGCGGAAAGCGCTTGCAGACGCCAAGGCCAATTTGCGGCCTGGACGACGCTCAGAGGAAAATACCAGACCAGAGAGCAAGGAACCTTCTTCGCGACGGGCTTCGGCAGTTAGAGGATCAGCAGCTAGCCCCCGAGATTCGCCTCCCATGCGCAGCCCCCCTCCAGTGGGTGTAGCAAATCGACGGAAGGGTGGGCGAAGCGAAGCTACGAGAAATGACCTCCTGTGGACGAAACCCACATTCGAGAACCTTCGAGAGTTTGCTGCCAAAGGTGATGAGGCTGGGGTGGTGAGCATTCTGAATATTTTGCAGAAAGCTGACAATGCTTCCTTGATTGCTGCGGCAAAGGGTGGCCATCACGATGTGCTCTCTCTTTTGTATGCGATGGGCAATGCAGACGCGGATCCAAACCCGTTACGTGGTCAGAAACCAGGTTATAACACGCCTATGCTTGCTGCGATTGGTCGTGGCAACAGCGCTGTTATCCAGCTTATCCTTAACCAACCCGGATTCAACCCTACGCGTCGACTGTTTGAAGAAAGAACATATTTTGAACTGTCTCGCAATCGACAGGGTGAGAACTGGGAGGACGAGCATCAGATTCTGAAGGACGCGTATGAAAGGTTTGCTGGTTCCGACAAGAGTCGCAAGGACGACTCGCCCCGCCGTGCTCGTGGAAAAGAGAAGGAGGAGAAACGCCCCCCACGCAGAACCTCTTCCTCTCCCGTCGCGCGTAAAAAAAACAACAGCCCCAACGCCAACCGAAATCGCGATTCTTTGAAAGACATGGATTTAATCAAAGAAAAGCGTCGTCAAAAAGAGCACGATCCATCACGACCATCGGATTCCTCCAAACCCAAATCTTCGTTATCCGCTAGACGAGACAGCGAGTCTAGTGGGGTGGCACCCAACGAAGACATCCGAAAGAGACGACTCATTCCTGGACGTCGCCCACAGGAGCGTAGGCCAAGTCTATTTTCGTCTGATTCGCTATCTGGACGTGAAGAGGCACCGAAGCCGCGTGTTGACACAGCACTTGACAGCACAATGTCTTTGAAGCGCATTCGCACTGATGGGTCTCCGGAACGATCTCGTTCCCGTGGCACAGACGCTGACCGCTTATCTCCTGAGTCGCGCAAAAAGAAGAGACGGGTTGTTTCTGAAGATAAGTCTTCTGGTGCTACACACACTGCATCGAGGCAACCTGAAGATGTCAGTAAACCACATCCTCGCCGACCAAATGACGAATCTACTCGAGCTGCTGAACCTCAACCACACAAATCCATCGACACCTCCAAGAAACCTCCAACCCGCCCAACTTCACCCCGTCATGATGCCGTTAAAAAGAACGGTGATACGAGAAAGGAATCGCATGAGCCCAAAGCCGATACCATGGAAGACACAATGGCCGTCGCTAAACGTCTCGAGCTTGAAGCCCATGAGCGTCGAAGAGCCCAGGCTAAGAAGGTGCAAGACGAGCGCGCCGCGAACGAAAAGCGCATTGCAGATGAAGCCGAGCGCGATCGACTTGCCAAAGAAGCTGAACGAGTAGCTCAGGTTGAAAAAGCCGAAGAGGAAGAGCGCAAACGCAAAGAGCTTGAACAACGACGCGCCAAACAAGCTGAAGATGATCGTCTGAAGCGGTTGGAGCAAGAACGTGCTCGAGCTGCCAAGATGCGCCGCGATCGCGAGGCAGCAGAGCACCGACGTCGTGAGGCACTTCCAAGTCGCCTTCGTGTTGCAGCGAACCTCGTGGGCTCGAACAACCCCCGCGCGAAAAGCCATGACTGGCTCAAGTCTTTTATGCCTCTCGTTACCGCTCTCACCCGTCAACTCGATCCCAGCTGTGATGTGGATGTCGCCGACGAGAAATGGATCCCAAACTATTTGGTTGCGCCTCTTCTGGCTACCAATGATCTCCAACTTTCGCAGTACCCCAGCTGGGAGAAGCGAAAGGCGACACCGACTCAACGTGTGAATCTGTGGCGAGTCACCCGTCGCATGTTGACCCATACGGATGATGTTGGATTCCAAAGCTCGAGCATCGGACAGATCATGCAGAAGGATTGTGACACGCGCCCCAAGTATTTCGAGATGGAGCATGTCTTCTGGATCCGAGTAAGTTTTCTTGTGCCTTGCAAGTTATGCTTCAAACTAACAAGTATTTTAGCTTTCCGATTTCACAGACCTCGTCCCACACATCCCTCACCTGCATGGCCTAGAGCTGCAATTCTTGAACATGCACGTCGATCCGGAGCCACCGACGGCTGGTGCAGATTTCGGCACTCCCCAAATTAATGGCCATGGCCCGGGATCCTCGGTCGAAACCAATGGAACCGGGCTCAATGGTTATGGCCCTTCTCGGTCTAGTACATACGTCTAGTTTTGTTTTCAGCGTCTTTTCGCCAGGACCCGGCGCAATGTCAGCAATTCAGCGAAGCGGTGTACAGTTCGGATTCTGATTGTACGATTATGATACCTCTTGCGTTCAGTGATGATTCGACTATCATTAGGTAGTTTTGTTGGGTTTCTTATGTAGTCACACTGTAATCATGCATCCCCGTGTCAAATAACATTGTTCAAACTCATATCTTCAAAGTTCGTATCGATATAGATATTTGTAGTAACTTATCAAACCATACACAAGCTAGAAAGCTAAAGATGATAGTGAAAGTGCCATCAAACCGGACTTGTCGTACATTCATTGTACGGATAAATACTTCACGTGACTGCGTTTGCGGGGACGGCATGACATAATCGTAGGGCACACACAGCCGAAAAAGTCGAAATAGCGGGAAATTTCACGACGCTCCACCTCTTAATTTCTCTCTCCAACAACTCTACTCTTCGAGGATCATCCGATTTCAAGCATAACAAGCAACAAAATGGTATGTTTTATACCTGCGAATTACCCTCACACCATATCCGTACCCACCTTGCATCCTGTCACGACAATTGAGACGCTGGAATGGATATGGCCGGCGAGAGTGATTGCGTCGCCGCAGTAGAGGTCACCCTCGTCGGCTGTTTAATCTATACGCTGCACCGGTCCAAACCAATCCTAAGTCTCAAGAGTCACGACAACGATCTACACAATGGAACCTTTGAAGCACCATATACTAATAAGAATCCTTAGTCGGACGGAGAAGAGCCCACATCCCCCATCGCCCCCGCCGAGGAGGTCGAGGTTTCTGCCGATGCCGGTAGCGGCCAGATGTCCGTCTTGGACGCCCTCAAGGGTGTTCTGCGCGTCTCCCTGATCCACGATGGTCTTGCCCGTGGTCTCCGTGAGGCCGCCAAGGCCCTCGACCGCCGTGAGGCCCACATGTGTGTCCTGAACGAGGGCTGCGAGGAAGAGGCTTACAAGAAGCTTGTTGTCGCTCTCTGCTCCGAGCACAAGATTCCCCTCATCAAGGTTCCTGACGGAAAGATGCTTGGCGAGTGGGTTGGTCTCTGTATGTTCTCCCTCTATTGAGCCAAGTTATTCATCTCGGGGTATATTTGCTAACATTTTGTTCTTCAGGCACTCTCGACCGTGAGGGTAACGCCCGCAAGGTTGTCAACTGCTCTTGCGTCGTTGTCAAGGATTGGGGTGAGGAGTCCCAGGAGCGCTCCGTTCTCCTCAACTACTTCCAGACCGAGCAATAGATTATTTCTATTGAGTGGCTGTGAGTAACAGGTCTCGTTTCAGGCGCCGGGTTGACTGGGGGCATTTGTGGTGGAGATCAAAGGAGGAATACATGAGAGGTAGATCAATGTCGAAACTACTGGCTGGACTCGGAGTATCCTCTCTGGGTTTGGTATTTATGATGGTGGAGATCTGTGATATCTCTGTTTGGTCTTTTGAACCTGTCATTTCGAATCACCTAGTCTATAGCCGTGCCCCGTTTACTCGGGTTCGCGGCACCAATGGCATCTGGACATCTTGTCTCCTTTGACACAAATAGGATTCGAAAGTATCTATGTGCTTTCTTGTAAAAGGTTATTAATATAAGTAATATCAACATTGTCAGCAAGGAACACAAAGGCAATCCGGAAACTCTGCATATGAAGGCTATTGTCCACCAAAAACGACGAAAGTCCCCAACCAATGAATGAAGACTAACACTCAATCGACATGTATAGGACGTTCCTCCGAGACCTTCTCCTAGATGAAATGCGCCTCTTGCATATGTAACCTTGTCAGTGACAGGAGGCGGTTTTTGCGTAAGTCTCCATTTCCATAAATGAACAACACACCAGTGACACCACATGCCCCAAGTGCTGTTAGCTCACAATTCAAGCGTAAGCACCTAGCACGGCGAGGAATCAAGTGCTGCACTTTCACAGAGGCCTTTTCAAGAGACCTATATAATAATGTGAGGCAAGAAGGGCAACTAGCTATGTAACTGCAATATGAACTCTATGTACGAAGTATGTACTCCGTATGGTATATACCTTTCGACAAGAACAAACGAAAACCAGCAAAAATAGATGTCTTCTTCCTTGGCTCTATAAGTCAGACATTTTCTCGGTCTCCTAAGGGCCATTCTAGACTATATCAAGCTTATGAGCTGTACTTCTTAGGGCTGCCCGCAGGAGAGTGGATCATCTGAGTCAGCCGGATTTCGTGACTTCCCTAACTCCGACTGGGTTTCTTTGTTTCCTTGGACAGACGCTCTTTTGAGGAAAATCTTCCCTTTCTTTTTCTTCTTTGCATAGATTTTAATCTTGATGAGAGGTGCATATTGCCATTATTTGCCATCGTTTTACTCTGTATTAGGCTCCACATCCTTTTGAGACAAGCATTGTCCAATATCCTAATCCCGATCTAATTTCCAATCCCGAATCCCACCGGGCATCGGGATGCAATCTGCTCAAATCCAGGGTGGGACCCCTGCGCCATATGGCCGCGCATGTATGAATTGTTCCCGTGCCAAGTGCAAATGTATTCTTTCCGCAACTGGTAGTGGCTGCGAAAGGTGAGTGGCACTGCTAGAGAGTGTGGCAATAGCCTGAACTAAGCACACCGGTAGATGCCAGCGCCTGAACAAAGAATGCCGGCCTGCGCAGACAGTCCGCAAACGCAATAAGCCGGCGTCGGGTTCTAATACTGCCCATCTTGAGGCTAAACTGGATTGGATTATGTCCGCGTTTGAAAAGAGTGGTGTTACCCCCAGTCTTCCTCCAGATTGGCAACCTGTAAACCTAGGGCAGAGTCAACGGCATGAGCCAAGCCAATCTGCACCAATCACTCAAACCTCAACTAGAGCTTCTTCTTCGACTGCCGAGGAAGGACAGTACTCTGAACACTTTCTGCCCTCGTATGATCCGGAGATATTGTCTCTGATCTACGTTCCGCCCGCCATGGCTCAGAAGTACCTCGACCAATTCCGCACTCGGAATTTGCAATATCTCCCCTTTGTCTACATCCCTTCTAACATAACCTCTGACCAATTGCAACAGAAGTATCCATTTCTTTGGGTATGCATTATGGAAGTGAGCACGTGTACAAATGCAGAAAAAGGTGACTCTTTCGGAAGAATTACCAACCATATTCATCAGAGAGTTATGCTCGACATTGCGCCGAGCATAGATCTTCTCCTTGGGATCATGACTTTCGTATCATGGTGAGTAGAGAAGAAGTACCCTCATGAAAACCACTTTCCTCATTACAATTCTCTTTGCAGGGTCACATACACTAAAAGGCCATTTCTCAATGTCTATGCACACATGCTAATGGCAGTCGTCGCCGAACTTGGAATCAATCAAAGTGTCCCAAATGAGTATTCAGCCATGCATTCTTTCAAGGTCGCTATTGGAATGAAGCAAACTCCACCCACAGCTAGGACACTGGAAGAGAGGAGGGCTGTGCTGGGATGCTTCTTGATTTCATCAAGGTAAATAGTAAATACCCGAGATTTCTAAGCAATAATTAACAGCTATACTACCAGCACCGCATTGGCAATGTCCAGGATTGACGCTATGCGCTGGACACCGCACATGGAAGAAAGTCTTTCAATACTCACCGAGGCTAAAGAGTGTCCCCAGGATGAGCTCCTGATCGCAATAATTAAGATCTATTTGGTCTTAGACAGAGTCTACCAACTGCGACGGGATGGTGAGGCTTCTATCCCGCTAGCTTTCTATCTGGATAGCTTCAAAAATCAATTGGATACAGTGAAAAGCCAAATTCCGCCTCACCTTCAACAGCACAGTATGTTTATACCTCCCCTACGTCTCCACGGCTATGATTAACAATATAAAAGGAGTTATACTGATGTATCTCTACAATGCCGAAATTGTAATCAACGAACTATCAATAGGAGACACCGCCATTGCACATTCGCCTGATCTCCATCGACTTGACAGCCTTTACACCTCCCTCCGAGCAACAAAAGGCTGGCTAGATGTATGGCTAGAACTTGAAGGAGAGGAGTACCTACAGCTATCATGTGTCATTTTTTTCCAATTCACACGAGCCATTGTCAACCTGTACAAGCTCACCATTCTGGAAGATCCGCAATGGTCTAAGAGTATGGTCCGAGATACCGCAAATATTCTCGAATACCTGAACAGAAACGAAGCCATCATCAGAAAATGCCCAGAATACATCACTTTCGACCAAAGCAGGGAAATGAACCTCCTCGAAAAGGGATTGAGAATGGTTCAAGGCATGCGAATAAACTGGGAGCCGAAATTATTGGAACTGTGGCACCCAAACATTCCCGCGAATAACGGGATCAACAGTGGTATGATCCAGTCCGATACTATACTTCCTGATGTTATGCCTTTGGGTGGGATTGATGAGGCCTGGATGATGGACTTCCTTGGGTCGTTATGATCTTGGTCTGTGAAGCTTGAAACGTTAGCTAGGAAGTAACATGAGGGTTAACGGCTTTATACATAATATAATATACCCAAGTTCAGTCATATTTGTTGACATGTGAGTGGGGGACTGAAAAGGAAGATTTCATCATCGGGGACTTGGCTGTTGGCGAGCCCTGTAGCTGCTTACGGGAAAGTCAATACCACCTATGGTCAAGATGGTCTTTGTGAATATGATAGATTGTCAGGAGGCGTGTCCCAAAAGTCTTACAAAGACGCGAGAAGACTCATTTGTCTTGGCAACAAACAAAGCCCATCGCCTATTGGAGACCGTTGAACGGCCGGATTTCGATTTATATCTTGGGATACAATGGTGACAGGTCTATGATCACACGGGAGATGGAAACAAATGTAGCTTTGCTGATACTCGCTAGGAGTGAGACGGCTTTCCAAATTCGCTTAATATATCACAGTAAACCTCCCGGCCTATCGGAAACTCGTGGACGAGAACCCGGAATCATTCAAAGCGTAGCGTATGAAGATATTGGTTTCCAAAGAGTTGGTCAAATGACTTAACTGAATGCAGCCCCCAAGAAAAGTCGGGTTTTCCCACCTGTCCCGGCTGTTATTCCGCGTGTTGTACTAAGGGAGAGTGCACTGGGGGTAGTTTGGCCTAGAGAATGTATTTATCTTTTTCAACACTATTCTATTTAGTCTCGAGGCGGAAAGTCGGACAATCGGACAGTCAGACATTTTCACTTGTCTTGGAGGAAAATGAATTCTGACTTATGATATCTTCAGGGACCGGGCTGACTGTATCCTTCCACAACTTTTCCTTTGCGGAGATGCGTCTAACTACGACCAGGATCTTCTGGAGCTTTGACACGACCATGGACGAGAGCTCAAGTGCTTGAAGTATTAGAAATCCTATAATTTCTGGGAACCCAGGCCATTGACAGTGAATCACAACATTGAAAGCGTTGCAGTTAGCTGTCTTTCGTTGCGTTTAGTGTAACTGAGTATGGTGAATTGCTATATAAGGTACCCAGGTAGCCATTCATGTCATAGAATCGCTTGCCACATTCGTGATACGAGAGGAGGGACCAATATCTAGCACGTCACTATCTGCCAATAAACAAAGTTCTTGATATTGTATGCGCGTGCCCTTTTGGGTAACCGTGAATGTACATATGTATATCTTACTGAGAAATTTACTGCGCATACATGTATAAGGTTGTCCTACAATAGTTCTTCGTATAGATATGTGTACAACTTTGAAACTGAGACACCAATTAACGTTGGTATTAACTAAGATTAAGATCATAGGCTTAGGTTGCACATTTGAAGACAAGACTCGGATTTGATCTTTCTTGAAGATCTAGTTCCAAGACCCGGCTCTGAAGTTACACAGCATGAAGTTTAAGTGAGTTGACCGTTGGGTGTATCAATCTTTCCCGGTGATGCCGGCTTTGTGGCGATTGAGATGAATATCTAGATCGGACGACATGCAAACTTGACAAGGGCCTAGTTGTATCGCAATCTAAAAGCAAGAAAAACATGAAAAGATAAGCTACAACTTGAAATACAAAGTAGCACACCAGGATAGCAAATTCGAGTATAAAGGTTGCTTCTTACCCAGCAGTTGATCCACTACTCACCATTGACTATTCCAAAACATCGCAATCAATCAAAAGAATGTCTAGCTTTGTCCATATTCTTGCACTCGTGCCCTTGGCACTGGCTGCCAGCATGATCAGGATGGTCCCTAATCAGGTACGGCTATGGAGTACGTCCATCGGATCAACTTGTTTACTCTTTATCTAGGCTATGATTTTCAAAGAACACGACTTCGCAATGAATGCCGGCCGAAAAGGAGTGCTCATTGCGTCTGATGGAAATTGCATGAATCTCGACAGCATTTCCGACTAGTAAGTTGAATATTATTCCCAGAAACATGAACTTTTGTTGACTAAAGTATCAGCCGCATGAATGTTGGATCAATCTACGTCCCATGTCCATCTGAGGTCAAGCAAGACATGATGTGCTCAATGTACTCGTAAGTAAAATAGCCTCTGACTACAGGTTCCTAGTGTTAAATTATCTAGTGATAACTCTTGCAACAACGAGCTGTTCACATTTACCCGACCCCATGCAAATTTGTTCAGACCGACTGTTGGCGATGGTGTTGGTAGACATGTCAGAAGCATTAAATGCGCGACAGTTTATTCTCCTGCCGACAGACAGGGACATGTATTCTCAAGTGATCATGCATCTACCAAGAGTCCCAGCAACTGCCCCAATGACAGCTGTTCCAATGAACTGGACTGTCAATCAAACCACCCGGATTATGGTATGTACTGCTCTTCGAGCTCTCTGACCTGCCAGCGAACCTTTGAAACTGGCAGACGTTGCGAAGGAGATAGCCGGTGTTCTGGGGGCCAATGTTCAAGTGGAAAGTGTATGGCTGTCGCAGAAAACTCGCGTTGTCTGCAGGGCTCTGAGTGTCCTTCTGGCCTGCGGTGTCGTCCTACTCGGGTTTTGAATTGGTCTGGAGCTTCTACTGTGGAGACGGTCTGCATGAAAGACGAGGATGTTCGTGGAATACAGTGTTCTGCTGAAAGGCCTTGCCAAGAGCATATGTCGTGCAGTCTTCAACATGAGACTAACACGTACTGTGAGTGGGATGGTACTTGCGGACTGAATACCATGAGTTGTGAGTCAGGCAGTCAATGCTGCTCTGGATTTTGCAGGGCCAACTTATGCCAGTGATAGTCTTTGCAGAGTATGTCAAGCTTGGAGGAAATGGTATTTGAATTGAGATAAAGATTGAATCTTAGCTCGGCCTTATGCAACAAATTTGTTTGAAAGTTACTCCTTTCGGGGGGGACACAGCCGCTGAATTCTTTCCAATGCATCCTCTCGAATCTCGCGGACAATATCTTCTGCAGGTTTCACACCATGTATCAGTCCCACAGAGGCCCCTGCATATGTCGCAAGTCTCCCCTCAGGCCCCCAGCCGTTATCGCCCGTCTTAGCAGCTTCATCATGAAGTCTTCTCAGTTCCTCGAAAGGCTTTCCTTCCTGCCGCTCAACAAATGATTTGTTCACGATAGTCCGGGGACTATATTGCTCTGGCCACCCGAAAGTGCCTCGGAGGTGATTATATAGTAGCGTACGCGTGGTTGAGGCCGCACCATCGACCGCACGTACAACCTCGTCCTGGTAGCCCTGGCTAATGCGTGCTTCACTGGCAGCCAGGAATCGAGTCCCCATCACCACACCCGAAGCTCCAAGGCACAATGCCGCTGCAACACCGCGCCCATCTGCGATTCCGCCAGCTGCAAACAAAGGAATTTGGCTGCCTGACATGGCATCTGCCACTTCGGGAAACAGGGCCATAAGCCCCATTCCGTCTTTCGCCCGACCATGGCCACCAGATTCAGCTCCTTGGAGAACAATAACATCTGGTCGCTCACTGTTCAGAAGAAGCTCCTTCGCCTCCTTCAGAGTGCCAATTTGAATCCAGATTTGGGTGTCAGGGGATACTTGACGGATCTTGCGAGACCAGTCGTCGTATTCCTTGGGTCCCTGGCGTGGAGCGTATAGCCAGGCTGCACATGGTTTATACTTTTCGATAGCGGCGACGGCAACATTGATGTCGTCAGCCCAGAGCTGGTATCCTATGCCGACAGGCAGTGTCGAGCCGGGAGTTGGTATTGTGCCAGCTTCTTGGTGTATGAGCGATGATGCTTTCTCGAGATCATCACTTGTGTCCTGTGTTTTGGCACCGGGGCCAATGAACCCTAGTCCACCGGCGCGAGAGACAGCTACTGCCAATGCTGGACCGGACATTACTTTCATAGGTGCGCTGACCACAAAGGGACTAGATACCCATGGGTATCGCGATAGCAAGCTTGCCGCCATAGTTTGATGCTTGGGACGGTTGATGAATATTGCTATTTGGATAATATGGCAGTGAGAGCGGTAGTTGTGTGGTCCCTTGCGTTTTGTAGTTACCGAGGAATCGTTGACGTCACCATAGAAGCCCCGCAATATCCGCATACAAAACAAACACCAAATGTGGCTAGTTAGTTAGAGGAAGTTGCAAGGCCTCAGGCATCATATGACACTTCACATGACATTCCCGCAATATCCGCAATATCCACTGCCCACTCATTCCATCCGTGATACCCTACTTATCCCATTCCACTCGGAAATTGCGGGATCTCTACCCTACTTATTGTTCGAAGATATGCCACACTCCGACCTCAAGCGAATGCGCACTAGAGTTGCCTGTTACCCATGCCGGGAGCGGAAAAGAAAATGCGACGGCGCTGAACCTTGTAGGACTTGCAGTCAATGGGGCTATGACTGCCACTACGAACGTCAGTCACGACAGAGGAACCATCCTCCCCAACAACCGCAGAGAGAAATTGCTCCAGATCCAAGGCCTCCACAGCAAACCGACTCGGTTGATACACACGGGCTGGATCGTCGGTTGTGGGCAAACTCCGGTGCTGCGTTTGTTCGGAGGATGGGCCTGAATATCGATCCTGCGAAAGCGCCAAAACTCAGCCTTTTTGGTTGGAATATTGGAAAGCGACAACTGTCGTCTGAACCCCAAGCTGTATATCCTGTGCTGTCAATCACGGATATCACATCATTGGAACACATGAGGACCCTCGCTCAGGTCTACTTCACCAAGATTGCTCCATACTATGGCTTTATTGATTCTTCTCAATTTTTTGAGCGACTGGAGGCTAGGTGGCAGTCTCCCATGGTTAATAGTTTATATGACAGTGTTCTAGGTGGGGTCGCTGCACTAGGTTGTTTGCATTCCCAACGAAACATGACCATCACCGAGTTACATCTCATCGCATCCGCACAATCTATTCTCGACTCGCACGTTCTGTGTGGGGCTCCCCCCGTAGACCTTCTTGTTGGGTGGACATTACGAGTCGTCTATATGCGAATGACAGATCTGCCTCACTCAACATGGATGGCGAGCTCGAAGTTGATGCATCTGGTGGAAGCTGCAGGATTCCATCTAGAGTCCACTGATTCAGTCTTTCCGCGTAGTATTGACACGGAGTTTGATCCAAACATCCAAAGGCGACTCTTCGGCGTGGCACTACACCTTAATATGTGGACTTCTTATGATCTTGGTTTATCAAGAGTGTCCTTTCAAAAGAATGATCTGCCATTACTCCCATCAACTATCGAGGGTGACTACACGCATGAGCTGCTGGGGCTTATTCCATTATCGGCAAGCCTAGATCCAGGAAAGCCAAAAGAAGATGATATCAAGCTAGAAGAAACGCTTGCACAGATCCTAGAAAGAGTTCATAATGAGCCTCCCTCGGCCATGGCGCAATGCAATCTTGTGCTTTGCATTCTGCGCAGAATTCACACAGAGAAACTTGAGATCTCTCCTCTCCTCGCCGAAAAAGCCTTAGCGGTGCTGAAAAAGGGACTTTCTTGCTCACGCACTATGGTCGCGAACTGCAATCCCTGGCAACATATGGCAAATGTACCTTTCCACGTCATATGTCTCTTGCTTGTGATGGACACACGGCAATCGCTAGCGCTACTCCCCGAAGCAATGCAGACATTGAAGTTCGTCGCCTCCACTTACGATACAAACACCATGAGAGAAGCCTGGAGTGCGGCTCTCTTGCTGGTTATGCTTCATCAACAACGGAGGAAAGATGATATTGCGATCTTCAATGACATTATGAACATGGAGGAGCAAGAACGTCCAGCTGGAATATCCCCGCAAGAATTTCCAAGCGCGGAAGAGTACTCCTGGCTAGGGGCTTTGGTCGCTGATCTACCCGGTTTGCAAAGGGATGACCTTGATCAATTTCTGAATTCGGATATGATTGATAGCTCAAGTTTCTTGGGTGGGGCTAGATGAACCCTACCTAAGAGCACTCATATGTTTGAGAGAGATTTAATTTGTGAACATTGTCTTGCCTCATTTTAGACCTTGTAAATTTAGTTTTGCTTTGAAGTTCCACATGGTACAAAGCCTTGCGGAAATTGCGGGCGACTTGCTGTGCCTGGCTGGTAAAATTCTCTGTTCCGCAATACCCGCTTCTATACATTGGGAAATCAAAAAGCTGTTTGAATAAAAACATGCACACTCATTATTTATTAGTGTTCATAACCCAATATTCCACCGCAGTACAGGAAGCTCGGCCTGAATTCAGCATACCTGGACATCCAACCGTCAAGCTCAGCGACAGAACGTGTCTGCACGTCGCTACTCTATCAAGTCCAAAATGCATGAGAAGACACTGATCGAAGCCAATAACGCACTTCCGCCACCTCTTTCCAACACAGTAAGCTATGTTGATTTTGAAGGGACCGATGACCCCGAGCATCCTCAGAATTGGAGACTGTCTACAAAGTAAGCCATAAGTTCAAATCAGCCAAAGATCTGGATATTCTGAATGCAAACTAACCACAATTTTTATTCAGGATTTTCAACTCTACCTTAGTCTGCTCAGAGACATTTATCGTCTCATTAACAAGCGCCATCTTCGCACCGGGAATCGACAAAGCAAGCAAAGCGTTCGGGGTTGGGACAGAGGTCGGAACACTGGGAACAACCCTCTACGTCCTTGGCTTTGCCACAGGACCCCTCATATGGGCACCTGCATCAGAGCTACGGGGAAGGAAATGGCCTTTGACAATTTCAATGTTAGGCGGTGGAATCTTCACTATTGCATCAGCAGTGTCCAAAAACATCCAGACCCTGATCATATGCCGTTTCTTCGCTGGCATGTTTGGCGCAAGCCAATTGACTGTTGTGCCCGCTGTACTAGCCGATCTATACAGTAACGCCACTCGCGGTGCTGCAATTTCGCTGTACGCGCTGACCGTTTTTGTGGGGCCGTTTACGGCTCCTTTTGTGGGTGGCTTCATTGCGTCGAGTTATCTTGGCTGGCGGTGGACTCTTTATATCCCGGCAATTTTCAGCCTGTCAATTGCGCTATTGAGTTGTTTCTTTTTGGCTGAGACATATCCGGCTTCTATTCTCGTGACGAAGGCTACTGCTATCCGCAAAGAGTCCCAAAATCGCAATATTCGTGCCAGACATGAGGATGTCGAGGTCAGCATCGCAGATCTCGTGGAGAAATACTTCACACTTCCATTGAAGCTGCTCTTCACAGAGCCTATTATTCTCGTCGTGTCAACTTACATGTCTTTCATCTACGGCATTGTCTATGCGCTTCTTGAGGCATATCCCTACGTCTTCGAGCATGTTCACGGAATGACTCCTGCTTTTGCTGGTCTAATGTTTATTGGCCTCATCATTGGCGTGGTACTTGCATGTTCCTTTATTCTTTTCGGACAGTTGGCCTATGCAAGGAAACTGGCAGAGAATAAAGGCATCCCAGTGCCCGAGTGGCGCCTCGCTCCACCACTCTTAGGAGCGCCTGTCTTTACAATAGGTCTCTTCTGGTGAGTAGAATGATTTTCTATTAGAATGATGTATGATGTCAGCTAACTGTCCATCAGGTTTGGCTGGACGGGGTTCACCCCTCAGATTCACTGGGCTGTACCTGCCGCAGCCGGGATATTCATCGGATTCGGTGTGCTGTGCATATTTCTTCCATGCTTCAACTATCTCGTCGATGCATATTTGCCAATGTAAGTTCTTGGCCCCTCTACTTGAAGTAGTCAAGACACTCTGCTGACCTGAATTGTAGCGCTGCTTCAGCTGTCGCTGCCAACATCATTCTTCGATCAGCAGTAGCTGCGGGCTTTCCGTTATTCGCGAGGCAGATGTTTCAAAATATGGGAATTCAATGGGCTGGCACGCTACTTGGATGTTTAGCCGCAATCATGATCCCCATTCCGATCATATTCAGGGTTTATGGACCTTGGCTGCGAGGGAAAAGCAAAATATTTCCATAAAAGTGCCATAACCTGGATTTTGAATGAGGTGAGTTCTTTCCGTATAGACAGGTCACAGTGAGCCACAGCTGCTGCCAGGCCGTAAAGCATATATAGTGTGTTGATAAGAGTTGAAATGCTTCATTTACATATTCTCAAAGTCCAAAAAGGTTCGCACTCATTTTAAAAGCTCGATCGAGCTTTAGCTCTGAGTGATCGTCCCAAAGTAAACAAACGCTAACGGAGCCGATACCAACCCAATGATGGCGATCACGCTGTTGCCCCATCCATAACCAAAAACTTCATACATATTGGGCGTAGATAGCTTCATTCTAATTCAGTATTTTAATTTCTGTCAGTTAAAATAAGGCATATTACGGCATATTAAGGCATCAGCTCTACAAAATCAGGCATTCGGCCACTGACCGCTATACACCTTCGCACGCCACTAAGCTGCTTTAGGCTTCAGCAGTTCTGATGACGTGGATTGCGTCGTAACAGCTTCGGAGAAACGAAATTTACGTGGAGAAATTTCATTATTTTGTACAATTGAGAACAGGAGGGACGAAAAATGTGATAACATTGGAAAATAATACAAACGAACTGCTCCCTTGAGCTCTGTTCACATGGAGACTACAATTATGATATTGAGCAAACTCAATTACTTTACTTCAAGAGTCGCAATCCTGTATAGGGGCTCTCTCCGCTCATTCGAGGTTATTGTCGATCGAACTGTCCACGGCCCATCCATTGAGCATAGTGTAGTCGGAGTATGGCGAGGTGCCGTGCAGGGTTTCATAGTGCTTGCGAGGCCCACACTCTCTCAACTTGGCAGAGTCTGCGTTGACGCACCGCTTCTGCATGATAGCCGCGATCTGTCGACCCGCATCCTGTCCTTCATAGTATGCACCGTGAAGGAAGCCAAAGAAGGTCGGGCTGGTAGCCTCACCGGCAAACCAGAGCCGGCCAGCGTTGGCACGAAGGTTCTGATGCATCTCCAAAGATGTGGAAGGAGGCCAGTTGGAGTAACTGCCGTAAGCCCAGGGCTCCGAGGTCCAGCGTGGGTACATGAATGCAGTTGGCTCGGGAATATCCTTCTCCGGGAACATCTTGCGCAGAACTGCCATTGCTTCCTGCTTGGTCTGCTCGTCTGTTTGGCGCTCGGCCCGATAAGCAAACTCGTTGGTCACGGTCACGAAGATGATGTTGGAATCCGGGAGGAATCCGGGGGTGGACAGTGACTGCCAGATCGGGTACCATCCACGGGTCACAGGATCAGCATAGAGGTGGTATTGTGTTTCCGAGGGCCAGAAGGTCTCGTTGAACTGGAAGAAGATCTTGGTGTATGTTCCCATGGTGAACTTTTGAATAGCTTCCTGCTTCCAGTCGGGGAGTTCTGGGGAGAAGTTCACAGCGCCATTTTGCAGAACTCCCAGTGAGAATGTGGTAATAGCATAGTCTGCTTCAACGCAGCTGCCATCTTTGTTGTGAACTGTGACACCATCGTCCGAATAGGTGATGTTCGTGACCTCGGTGTTCAAATGAAGGCGGGTGTCATTGCGAGTGAGGAAAGTCGATGCGAGCTTCTTAACAATGATATTGAATCCTCGCTGGTCCAAAACAAACTCATCGTGGTCGCTGAAATAGTTGAAGGTCAAATTGTTGCCCGCACAGCCGAAGACAAATGAGCTCTCTATTGGGGAGTAAGCAGCCTCAAAGTCTAGTCAAAGATGTTAATATCGCGCTAGTTGCATCTGCAAGAGATAACTTACCCCACGACCACCAGTCAGCAGCCTGTGCCTCCATATCATGGACCTTGGGGTTCCAACCAGCCAAGGCCATGCCCGTCTTGACGTTTTGATCCTGGAGATTCTGAGTAAGAATCTCACCTGCCCTCTGGTTGGCAATATCATAGGCGTCGTCATAGGCATCGATGAGATCGCTATAGTCGGAATAACCATCCTTGTTGTAGGTAGAGACATTGTCGTAATTTGCCCATTCGGTGGTCAATCCGTATTTTTTAGCCTGTCCGAGGTCAGTTCGTGTTCGATCGAAGGTATGTTCAAGACTTACCAAGCCCCAGATTGGGTTCTGTGGGCCTCCTTCCCTGCCAATACCTTGTACCTGTTTGACCTGTCAGCGGTGTCCTTTCCTGTAGCTGAAACATGCATACCCAATTGGCACCCATCTCAATAGTATAAGGCTTCCCATCTTTGTCTTCACCGAACGACTTGTGCCAAGCCCGACCGCCGATAGTATCGCGATACTCAAGAATCACGAAATCGTGCACGGAAGCATTCGTTAGGGCTTGCTATGAAATTGTCAGTGATATTCCAAGATAAATAAAAGGGGAAACCTACAGCAGCAGTAATACCAGCCACACCACCTCCCCTATACTTGGTGAGCTTTTGACATCGATCAATAAGAAGTCCAGCACTTACAAGATTGCAACCTTAGTCTTCTTGCACGTTCCCTCAGCTCGAGTGCGGTGAGGCGCACCGATAGCAGGCTGGACAGCGCCTGCTATCGCGACCAAAAACGAAAGGTGCTGTAAATGCATGGCGAAGCTATAGAGATCACAAAACAGCCCCGGGGATCGATTGCAATAAATAATGCAGACATCGACCCCACACAGGGCTGTACCTGCACATCCAGAGAAAGATAAGAAGCCGACTCCACGCAGCCACGCGACCCGGTAACTCCGACTTCCTCACACCTTCCGCAATCGGGCAAGTACATGCGGGAAGCTAAGAGAAGCCTAATTTAAAGCGATATAGGTATCTGCGGGGAGGTCTTCAATATCCTCCGTTTTGTGATTTAATCAATTCTAATCTCATTCCTATTACGTTTGGAATGCTGAAATTAGCCTGGTCCGTCCATGTGGATATTCCTAAGTATCAGATATACTCGCGTTCAACCCGGAATCTTCGAGATACCCTAATCGATAACATCCAGGGGGTACTCGAGCCCCGATTGTCATCCAATGTGCTCATGATATCGAATATCGTCGGA